TTCCGCTTGTCCCGATCGGTCGGCTCTGTTAATATCCCAAGAGTGTCGAATGATCCCTGGCGGGCCGTGGGGGTGAGGTCTCGGCTTGAAGGCTTGCTCCGTGCTGAGCCAGACACTGATCGGCGATCATTCTCGGGAGCATCCTCAAGGTGGCCTTCACTAGCTGCTCGACTGTCCGTAGCTGGCCCTGTGCCGATGGTGGACGAACTCTGTGTTTTGCTTTTTCGCTTCTTGGTCTTTGGTGGGTTTGCTGGCGCCTGTGATTTGCCCAAATGATTCCGATGGAAGCGGGCAAATGCACATTCTGATCCAAGGTTGCACGCACAGCCTCCATATTCGGAAAGGATGTTATGCAGCCAGCTCGTAAGTGCCTGGTATTCCCCATCGTCAACAGAAGACTCGGCGTGGGCTGAAGTGTCCTCGTCACTGAGCCCCAGGACCCGGAGCATCCGTGACTTATTCTCATTGGGGAATCGGAAGTCCCAGGGCAGTGTGATTTCTTCCCTAGCTGCGACCTGCCTGTCGGTTACAAGCCAAAAGTGAAGCTCATAGCCGTCTGAAAGATATGTTTCGAGCATGGCATTAGGCTTGCAGCTTCGTCGGATATAGCGAGCCTGGGATCCTTCTTTCCTGGTGTCGATATAAATGGGAAGCATGGGGTGGAAGAAGACATAAGGAAGCGGGGACGTCAGCTCTTGCCACCGGCTATCGGGATCTGCGCAATAACTGCTCTGAATACCGATCTGCCCATTCAGTTCCACAAGAGGGACGTTATGAGCAATAGCCGATGGCGCTTTGAGGCACTTCCAAGAAGCGACGGTGCCTTGACCGAGTGTCTTCCGTGAAAGCTCAATATCCACTGGCCTTTTTAGCTGATCAATATTTGGGGGTAGAGGTTGAAAAATGTCAGCGTAGGCCCAGCCCGTCTCTTTCTGGAGTTTGTTGTGGTCTCGTAGCCAAGCCGAGATGGCGTTTGACACCTGGAGGCTAGCAAAACTGTTGGTATGCACAATCTCGACACCTCGGTCGCTGGAGCCGGATAGCAACGCAGGGGCATAGGTATGTATCTCAAAGTCGGCAGGCAGGTCAGGTGGCGTCGCCGCAGGACTAGGAGGATGAGCATGGTTGGACTTGGTGCTGCCGAATTGTGGACTGCGTTTCGCAGCCTGTGAGCTAACCGAATGACTAGATTTGTGCGAGCTTTTCGATTTCTTTGTTGGAGCAGGATGGCTGTCCTGGGTGCTGGCTTGCTTTTCGGCTTTCGAGTGCTGACCAGTCAATGGCAGGTCGCTCGGTTTCGGCTTCTTCTTGTGGCTCTTTGAGAGAGGACGCTTGCTCTTCTTGTCTGTCATTCCTTCAGTGACACCTGATGTAAGCTTGCGCCTCTGGTTTTCTTTGGCTCGTTCCCGATCCAAGGGCCTTGGCTGGCACTCAACACAGAAGTGTGCAAAGTCTGGATCGCGGAGAGCATCCTCAGAGTTGTGGGGGTAGTAGCATTCGATGTGCTGCCACGTATCGCATAGTTCACAGTAGATCGTGTTTCCGTCATCGTCGGGGTATTTGCAGATACACCTGATGGTGTACGGCTCTTCCTCAACATTCTCCTGCGCTCGTATACCATCTTGGACAGGAACGGCAGCAGAGACGGAGAATGAAGTCCGACTAGGAGGCGCGATTGGCGTCAGCAGTGACGGCAGCTTGTCGGTCATAATCTATGGAAAGACCTCGGGACGGCGGTTTCGATAGGGTATCGGGAGGGTGTTGTTGACTGGTTATCTTTCTAGGTCGAAGGGCATGCTGGCGCGCTGTCCAACGCAATTGATTCTGACCAGAGAGACGAGCACAACTTGACGAAAAAGCCGGGGCTTTCATCCGTTGGGAGACAGCCTTGGATTATATTGCCCGTTTGTCGTATGGACTAGCCAGGGTTAAAAGTCGGCAGCGGAACGCTCGGTCGGGCGGAAGGACACGTCGGAACTGATGACGAAGGTCGAATTCGAGAATTTGAGGAGAGAGCCCAGGCGGCGTCAATCACTGTCGAAGCCTAGATTGAAAGACCAAGTCTGCAGAAAAGGAATAGGTCGGGCGTCAGGTTGAGGTCGCTCTCGGGATCTGGATCGTGTTCTTCTGCGCAGGAGGAGTGGCGAGCGTCAAGCCCAAAAGCGAGGAGAAACGCAGTGGTGAATGACGACGACGAGATGGATTTGTCGAGAAGGGAACAGATTGCGCCGCGAGGAACGAAAGAAAGGTAAAGTCGGCCGGGCAGCGTCGTGTGTGCGCGAAAATGGAAAGTCGGTTCGAACCTGATCAAGACTGTTGCGAGAGATGAATAGGTAGGCAGGTGTCGGAAACGAAGGGGGGGGGGGGCAAGAGATCCAAGAAAGAGACCAGAGAATTCAAGTGGAAGGGGACGGGAGGAATGGGAAATCGAGTGCAAAGTGGAAGTGCGAGGGAGAGAGGGGGGCCCACTCGCACTCTGGGAACTCTGCCCTCTGCCCTCTCAAGTCCTGCCTGCACTCTCACTCAGGTCTGACTCTGGACTGGCGCTGGCGTGCTGGTTGCAATCGCTCTGTCCACTGCCGTGCCCGCGCGGGCGGCCCTCTCTGGGGCCCCTCGCTCTGGCAGTGTCTGGCTCTGGGGGTCATCTCAGAAAGGAAGAAGACGGGAAGAAAGGCGGGCGGGCTGCACTCGCAGTCTCGCCTGTCGCAGTCGGTCGCAGCACTGCAGCTGAGGTGCTTCAAGTTCTCTTCGTTGCGCACCTTTCGTTTTGGTGGCAGTGGGAATGGGAATGGGAATTGCCCGGGACGGCGACCGGGACCGGGGGAACTCACCACTGACCTCAGCCACTGCCAATGCGTGGCCCTCTCACGCTCTCTCTTGTGGTGCAAAGGGCAGAGGCGGGCAGTAGGTCAAGAGTAACCACGGGCACCCCCCTCCCCAGGACGGGCAAGACTGGAGGGACGCTGCAGTGCTCAGCAGGAGCACGGGCCAATCAGACGAAACAGCCCACGGCAGCCGTGGAAATTTCCGTGGCACAGGCCTTCCCCCAAATCGGAACCTGTCCACCAGTTCTTGGGTTGTCCTTGGGCCTTGTTAGGTTGTGTGCAGTGAGCGTCCTCGGTGCGGGCGACATAAAAGCTGCAAGTGGACTGTGGACGTGCTGCCGGCGGTCTTATTTCCTTGGATTCCTGGTTCTGCGCTCCAGCTTGTGTTTCGCTCAGCTGTTTCGCACTTCTGCTGCGTGTCTTTTTCGCCCTACGGTACCCAGCGGGTCTTGGGAAATTGTTAGCGCAACCACTTTCTACTCTGCCCGATGTGTTTCTAGACTGCCTTGGTAGCTCGCAGCAGCCACTATGGGCGGGGGCCATCAACCAAGGAAGCAGCTGTTTTGTAGGCGACGCTTGGCTGTTTTGTTGCGATCGAAAAAAAAAGGTCCCCACGGCATCAGCCGCCATATGATAACGAAGAAAAAGAACGCAACCGAAGAGTCCGGCCCGAGCCACTAAGCTCACGGCAGCGGAGAAGAGTAGGAAATGAAAATGCTAAGAAACGTCAGTACTATGACTGATATGCGACATGGTATGAAGTAAAAGCATGCAGCTTTGAAATGTTTGCATGCCGAATTGTCGATCGAGCAGCCAGCCAGTGTGGAGGGGTCTTTAGAGGGACAAGGAGGAGGGGGCCTGAAAGGAAACCACGAAGCGGAGGGAAGGGACTGAAGCGAACTGGAAAGAGGCCGGGGCGGGGTGCGTGCGACTGTGCAAGGTGGAAAGCCGAAGGGTTCCATCAACGAAAAGGCGCGCCGCGAGGGCCGAAGGTAGAACGGACTTGTACGGCGGTTCATTAAAGGCCATTTGCGCAATGACCACCTATCGTGGATTATGGAGGCCTACCCGTGGAGATGGGGTACCTAGACGTGATGCAGCAGCTCGGAGCGTGGACAACCCTAGGAGCCGCGTCGCGGAAATCAATCTACCGTGGTGGTAGTAGGTTAGGAGGTCAGGTACCTGGGCTCACTGGATGATAACCACAGCGGGCAACAGAAACGGGGTTATGTTCCGGAAACGGGAAAAGCCCATGGCTATGTTGGCAGCGGGCAGCGACAATGACAAGAACGCGGGTTTGGATGTCAGTAAGTACTCTCTCTATAGTGTACATGCCTTGCATGGTATCTCGGGTCGAATATCGTGTTATATTTGCATTCTTGACGCCGGTGACAATCCGTTCAAGAGCGACGGATGCGTCTCAACATGAGGACGAAGCCTTTTGGAATGTCTGCTTCTTGGAAAGATTGCGTTCAAAGCCCCAGGACTGTGAACTCCTGTTTTTAGGGGCTTGCATCTGCGCCCCAGTTATTGTTCGGCCTAGGACGAAGATGAGTGGTGAGCGTCGGAGATTCGAGGTGGGTGTCATCCAACCGTAACCGCCGTCCAACAACCAGCCAATGTCACAGCGATTGAACCCAAGAAGATCTCGATAAGCACCGCCTTTGTTCTTCAATGTCCACGATTGATAAGATATGTCCTTTATCATGGCGCTTTGCATGTCGTTCGACGATCCGTCTTCTGCTGGAAGTCAGCTCCGATCTACACTACGCGCGCCCAGGCTCAACCTCGGACAAGGTCACTTCGGTCGCACTGTTGAGTGTTGGGAAACGGCTGGTTGGCTGGCTGGTGAGCGTCGAGTTGAGCGAATCATCGAAGCCGTGAGCAGTGTTGACACTAGTGCTTATTCGTACAAAGTGGGTTTCGAGCTTGACAAAGGTGTGGCTGCAATGCTTCGGCGTTACTGCAGTTGCTACTCGCTCCAATTAATGTTGTCATGTCTTTCTCATGATCTCATCACGTTGGACGGTGGGACCCTTCAACCAGGCGCAGCCATTCACATGAAACTCTGCAATCTGCTCCTTTTTATTTCCCCTTCTCCATTTAATACACCCGTCCGTCACGAACTCACTCGCTTGCCCTTTGGGCTTTATTTCCTCTTTTCTTTTCTCTTTTGTCTTACACCTCCTCTGTGAAAAGGCACATCTGGCTTTGATTGCTGTCCAACAACTTGTTTGACACATCGCATAATCACCTCGTCCAACAACCCCGAAACCGATGAAGACGACTGCAGGCCGCCGAACGACTGAGCGAAACTCGTCGTCCCGATCATTCCCGTTTCAGTGATACGCCCGGAAACACATATCAACAATCCCTGACCCAGCCTGATTCAGTGCGTCTGACATCTGCCCGAGGCCAGAGAGATACGCGGCCTATCTGCTTTCCAGTTTGCGCGACAACATGGCCGCTGTTCCAAGACTCCAACATTGTTGTAAACTGTATCTCTTGGGCGACATGAACTTCTTCCACAAAGGCGTATCAATGATGGCAGCTTCGGCAGGACTATCGCAACAAAACGGCCCCCATAGCCGAAGTTGTCACGCAGGGACAACCAAACTTCCCAACGCTCCCGAAACTTAGTCTAGGAAACCCATGTTTGAGTTCCAAGCACTACGTATGCGATTTCGGTCAGTCCGTCGGTTTGTTCTCTGATCTCGATGTTTGGTATAAACGCCATGTTCGAAATAGCACAATTGACGACCAGGGTTCCGACTATAAGCGAACCCTACGTAAAGTGAAGGGTTTTAAAAAGCACGCCCATATGTCATGTCGCGAAGGCACAAAAGGATGTTAATCAGTAAAACAAAAAATAGCGTTATGTGTCGTTCAGTACGCTGAGTGTAGTATACGTACCCTGAGAATGGGCAACCGATATGGCATCTCGTCACTCCCAGTCCCAGCAATGAAAGTCGAAAGATCCTTCGACAGGAGCTGGGAACCAAGAACTCAATGCTTCAGGAAACGGCGCTGCCGCAGTAGCTCAATAGTCGTGATTGGTCCATTTTACATATAAGTGGATCCGCGCCGACTCACATGATAAGACTAGGTAAACAAGACAAAAGAAAGTTGGGGAAGTGGCCGCAGGCTGGGGCAAAACGAACCCGCCATTCGCCGTCATGCCCCAATGACGTCTCTCGCTTGTTCAGAGGCCTGCGCAGAGTGCCAAAGCGGGAGTGTTTGCGTGTGTTTATCGACTGGGCCAACCAGTGACCTCCTGTGGAGGTCCATCTCTCCTGATGCAGGTTGGTTGCGCAGCCAGGATCAACCTCACCCAGCCAGTCACGCCAGCCCATTATCTCGCTCGCCATCAGTTGACTGCCTCCGCTTCCAGTTGCTGTGGCTTGTTTCGTTCCTGGTATCAGAGGTATCATTTGGAGTCTCCATCTACGACGACATCCATCTTTGTAAATAACTGCCATTCCGATTTGACTCGTGAGATCCCTGTGGCCGACATCCCGCAACTCAACACAACGAACTGTCGGTAACTGTCTCGGCGGTGGACAGCGTTTATATTCCCCGCTTTCTCAACCACATCCCATCCTCTCCAGGGTCTCTATAACACATCTCCGCACCGAACACCGACCGTGACACATCGCTACCATCACTCACCATGAGGCTTTCGGCAGCTGTCATCGCTCTCCTTTCCACGAGCGCCGCTGCTTTTAGCGTTTATCGCGAGAACAGCGTCTCTGCCAACGATGAACTCGATGTTCCCGGAAAGTCACCCTTGAGGTTCTGTGACGCTGCGGCCGATCGCAAAGATGACATTGTTACCATCGAGGAGGTCATATTGACACCAAACCCTCCTGAGGCGTATGTCACATGTCTTTCACCATGTTCAAGAAACAGAAAGCTAATGGGTTTGTCACATACAGCGGTCAGACCCTGACAATCGAGGCGTCTGGTATCGTCAAGGAGGCCATCGAGGAAGGGGCATACGTCAACTTGCAAGTCAAGTATGGCTACATCCGCCTGATCAACACCTCTGCCGACCTGTGCAAGGAGATGAAGAACGTGGAGCTCGAATGCCCCATCAAGAAGGGCAGACTCTCGATTACCAAGAACGTTGAGCTGCCCAAGGAGATCCCACCTGTACGTTCTTTATTGCCCAATTCCCTTCTCTCACTACTGCTGTTGTTGTTGGGAATATTTGCTGACATGGACGGTTTGATCGCTACAGGGCAAGTACACTGTTGAGGCCGATGTCTACAACAGCGACGATAAGCACATCACCTGCTTGACCGCCACCGTCTTCTTTGGTCGCAAGACCCTTGGCTTCCTTGACGATCTCTGATCTGGGTGAAGAGCGAGCGGATTTGACGATTAACAACGGATATGGCATGTTTAATCTAAACCTTGGATGAATACTGCGCATGATGGATTAATGAACTCATTCTTGGCACCGAATCGGATGATGGCACTTGCACGGCAACAGCATTTGTATGGGGTTTGCTTTGGTAGTACTGGAGTTTTTCGCGTTTAGTAGTTGGTTTTTGAGACTGTTTCTGCCTTTAAACATGCTTAGGCGTAAACATTTCTGAGGAAACATTCCCGTCGTTCTGCTTCTTCATAGGTATTCTGAGTTTCCCGCATTGCGCGCCGCCGCTGTGATGTCGTGGGCACATTGATTCCGCTTTGCCCCCATGAACCTGACTGCTTCCATTCCTTCCATCATGCCGTATCATTCCCCGTTCGTTATGTCCATGCTCAACTGGGCAAACACGTTTATTCACCAAACAGACGACGGACTCTGCGGAGAACACTGTCCTTCTCGGGGTCGTAAGGGTGGTCTTTGCTCGGGATCTCGAGAACGGTAGGGAAGGCCGCGGTGTGGGTGTCGACTCGGTGCCGTATCCTATCAGCGATCTGTGTCTTCCACGTCAGTTACCCATTTTATTCAGAATTGTCAATAAGAAGAAATATCTCCCCACAAGCCCCCCCTTTTGAACCAAGACCCGCACTTACATGTTGGTTAATCAAAACAATGCCAATGTCCTTCCTCTCGGTCGTGAAGCGCTCAAAGGCCGCCTCGATAGCAGCGTTATCCGTCTTGTTGTCCACCACAAGAAAGTTCTTTTGCGAATCTGGGGGCGCCGTAACGTGCTACGATTCGAGTGCGTATTAGAACTCCGCTACCGCACATCATCCGAGGACCACACGGAACCTACGCCAATGCCTGCAAGGAGAAGTCCCGTGACGGAGTCCTAGATAATTGTTAGCTCCTTGACAGATGTAGACCTAGTTGCAAAATCACACTGACCTCGTCTCCAATTACAGCCAGGAACTGACGGTCCCTAGCGTCTGCTTGGGAAGTTGCCATGATAGGCTGGGTCGGGTATCGGTCGGGGAACGAGGGCTATGCGACAATAGAAACTTGAGTGACTGGTAATAACTTGAATAAATCTTCTGAAATGTGTGTTTGTATTAGCGTCGGTAGGGAATGTCGAAGCCTGCCTGCGGTTGCGGTTGCGGTCGTATCGATTGATGTCGACGTCGGTTGTCGTCGTCCATCCAGGTACTCCAGGATGACGGGACGGACTGGAGCTCTGACCAACCTAGCCGCACTGGATCCAACTGGGCTCCACTCGCAGTCAACAGTCCGCGCTAAACCTAGCAGCTCCGCTGTCACAGCCAAACCCACTCGACCCCTCTTTTCAGCAATGCCAGGTTCTAAAAACTCCACTGACACAGCTGGGGCTCACTAAATTCTCGGTTGCGCCTCGCCTGCCACTGGTTGAACTTTGACTGAGACCGGGGTCAATTTCCATGAGGGAGAGCTTCCAATCCATTTCTCGATCCGCGTCCCGAGCAACGCAAATGCAAAAGTAAACAAAAGAAATCATCATTCTTTGACCAACCTTGGAACCAATCCGGGCACAACCCGGTGCCCTTTCACCACACGATACACAACTAAGGACTGCGCAACACCGTCACATCATTGCGCACAATCCTCTCGTATCTTCTACCAAAACACCACCGAGTGGGAAGGCGGCCCCAAACATCGATTCTGCGCTGTCGCAATCTGTCATCACCAAACAACATCGTCATCATCACAATTCAAACATGCCTCCAACACCTCGTCGCCTGGTGCGGCGGCGCCCGCTATCCGAGCGGATACAGGCCTTTCTCAACCCTATAGACTTTTATATCTGGATCTCGGAGGAAATCCAAAGCTTCGATTGGGACTCGACTGCTTTCGGCACTTGGTTTGGTCTGATTGCGAATGTTCTCTTCCTACTTGCGAGAGCGAACGCAAACATTAGTGGAGGGCTTGTCGACGATGATGTATTTTCGGATGCTCCCTCCAGCGGCTTTACAAAGGCATTGGTGAGTTAGGCTTCACTACTTTTAGGAGGGACCTGTTCGGCATAGTGAACGATATTCTGACTGCATGCGACAGATTAACTTCCTCATCTGGACCCTGATCCCCATCTCTGGTCTCAATGCCTTCTACACCATGACCCGATCGCGCCACTACCGACTATTCGAAGCGAACGTCGAGGCTCAAGGTCCTTCAACCCCTTCCGCGCACCGTGTCCGAGTCGATTCTTCGCCGTCCACCCCAACGCCCCTTCGATATATCCAAAACTTTGCAAAGGGCGAATCGGCTGAGGCGCGCGCTCATCCCGACAAGACGCGCGACGTCTGGGAGGTGGCCGTTTGGGATCCGTACCCGGCAACACTGCGCATTTTCTGCCTCTTCAGCCCCGGCCATGTCCTCATCTACATGCTCTTCCTCCCCTTGGCCGCCCTCGACCCGCGCCCGAGCGTGACCGTCTTCAAAGCTCTTTTCCTCCAGCTCCTCCTCACAGCTCAGATGCTCCTCCTGACCTCCCGCTTCACCCAGCAATCCAAGGACATGAACATTATCCACCGCGAAGTCATGCACGAATACGACATCAAGTACGTGCACCCGCGGGTGTACCCTATTTACCGCGAGGTAGCGACCCAGGTCTCGATTGTCGACGACGTTTTGGAAGAAGAATCGGTAGCTATCGGCACCCCTTCGACCATCATCCGCCACGGCTTCGAAACGCATCCGAACCCAAACTACACCAAACACTTCGACCCCGACGGTGTCCTCAAGCAGAGCAGAGAGCTAACACAAACCGACGCTTCGACTCCCGCGGCGCGACCCTACACACCCATCACCACCGGCCGACCCAGTTTCGGATCAGTAACCTCTCCAAGCACCACCACTACTACTCGTACCCCGACCCTCCTCCGCCAAAACAGCTACGGCAACACCCCCTCGACCATCTCGATGACCGCCCGCCCAACACCTAGCAAGAGACAGGTCGCCCACGCCGGCACCACCCCCTACCCACCACGTAAAGCAGCAGGCGGCGGCGGCGGCAGTCTTGGCGTGTACCAGCACATGAACTCCCCACTCAACCGAACAGCCAGCGTAGGCACCGACGCGCCTTCGCCCCGCAACGGCCGCGAGATGGCGGCGCTGGAGCAGAGAGACTTGGCGGATAGGCTGATTAGGCAGCACAGCCCCGTGAAGCCGAGTCCATTAAAGAGCGAGATTTATCCTGCTGCTGCCGGTGGGTCGCCCAGGAAGTCATCGGCGGCGGCGGCGGCGGCGGCGAGCAGGGATGGGGATGGGGATAGTAGTGCGTATATGCAGCATTCGCCGGCGACGTTGAATAATGCGCGGGCGAATAGGTGGGCGCATGAGAGGTTTCCTACGAGAAGGGTTTAGACGGTTGTTTATAAGATTGAAAAGAGGGTGAGAAATGTAAAGAGGGGATTAAGATGTTCTTCTCTCTGCCTTTGACGATGTATCATCAACATTTGGAGTTCTTTGCGAACGGCGTTGTTGGGGGAAAGGGCCGGGTTTTTTTCTGATTCCATGTCTATCAAAAAAAGAAGCGAGTTCGTGTATCATTGAAACAAAGGCGGCGATGTATTATTTCAAAACGTACTTGAGAAGGGCATATAACATGGCGTTCTTCTTTCTCTGGGGCATAATTACAAGCACCCATGGATTTTTCATCGTTAGCTTACCGAACTCTCGATCACATATGGTGTCCACCCATGTCCATGTATTTTTTCCTGCTTGACGATCACTTCTCACTAAAACAAGTATGTATTGCAAGAAATTATGCTGATGAAGAGAAGAAACCCATCCGGGTAATGTAAATGCGCCATGAATATATACGTAGCTAAAAAAGAAGAACAACTGTGGAGTCATTCGTTGATGACTGTCCACCCCGCCAAGACCGTAGTTAAAGAGACCATGATAAACTCAAAAACCCGCAACCGCAGCACCGTGATATCAAGCGTTTGTAAGAAAAGCAAGACATGACCAAGCAAGAAAAGAAAAAAAAAAACCATGACTCATTCGTCCGCTAACAACCAGCCGCTTCCCTTTCTATGGCGGCGCTAACCTTTTTTTCCTTTTCTTTGGAACCCTTTGACTTTTTTGTTGATGATGCCATATGACTCTTTTACCACTCAAGCGGCTCCTTCTTCTCCTCCCCGCGGTTGGTCTTCGGTACTGGGACCGCCTTAGCCACCAACTTGCCACCCTGTCCCTTCCTCTTGAGATACGCGCGTCCATCCAACCAAGGCGTCTGCTGGCTCATCTTCGCCTCATACTCGGCAATCTTATCCTCCATCTGCATCGTCAGACCGATGTCGTCCAGCCCGTTAACGAGGCAGTGCTTCCTGAACTCCTCGACCTCGAACTCGCAGAGGGTGTTACCGTCAGCGTCCTTGATTAGCTGGTTGGGCAAATCGATCTCGATCTCGCGGCCGGCCGCGGCCTCGGCGTGCACGCGCTCGAGAGCGGCTTGGTCCTTGAGCGGGATGGGCAGCATGCCGTTCTTGAAGGAGTTGTTGAAGAAGATGTCGGCGAAGGAAGGGGCGATGACAGACTTGACGCCGAAGTCGTTGAGCGCCCAGGGGGCGTGCTCGCGCGAGGAGCCGCAGCCAAAGTTGGAGCCTGTGCAGACGATGATCTTGGAGGAGCGGTACGGCTCACGGTTGAGGACAAAGTTGGGGTTCTCGCTGCCGTCAGGGTTGTAACGCATCTCGTAGAAGAGGGCGGAGCCGAGACCGGTGCGCTTGATGGTCTTGAGGAACTGCTTGGGGATGATGGCGTCCGTGTCGATGTTCGCCTTCTCCATGGGCGCAGCGATGCCCTTGAGGTTGGTGAACTTGGGGAGGCCAGCAGAGGACTTGGAGACCGAGGTGTTGACTTGGGGAGAGGAGTCCTGGGGCTGGTCGGCGAGCTTGTCCTTCTCGACATCATCCTCCTCAATGCGCTCGTCAATGTGGGCCTTGGCGGTGGAGGTGGTTTCAGGAATGACAGCGGCCTCAACATGCGGGCTGGACTTGTAGTCAGTGAGCTTGCGCACGTCGGCGAGCTTGCCGACGATGGCGGCGGCGGCGGCCATGACGGGGGACATCAAATGAGTGCGGCCCTGGGCACCCTGGCGACCCTCGAAGTTGCGGTTGCTGGTGGAGGCGCAACGCTCCTTGGGGGAGAGGATGTCGGGGTTCATGCCGAGGCACATGGAGCAACCAGCCTCGCGCCACTCGAAACCGGCCTCCTGGAAGATCTTGTCGAGACCCTCAGCCTCGGCCTGGTCCTTGACGAGACCGGAACCGGGGACGATGAGGGCGCGCTTGATGTTGGCGGCGATCTTCTTGCCCTTGACGACCTGGGCGGCAGCGCGGAGATCCTCGATACGAGAGTTGGTGCAGGAGCCGATGAAGACCTTGTCGACCTCAATGTCCTCCATGGGGGTGCCGGGAACGAGGCCCATGTACTCGATCATGCGACGGCCAGCAGCCTTCTTGCCCTCGGTAGCGAAGGTCTCGGGGTCGGGGACAACACCGGTGATGGGGACAACGTCCTCGGGGGAGGTACCCCAGGTAACAGTGGGGATGATATCCTTGCCGTCGATGAAGACATCGATATCGTACTTGGCATCGGGGTCGGAGGCGAGAGACTTCCAGTAGGCGACGGCCTTGTTCCACTCCTCGGATCCGTAGCGGGGGGCAAGGGGCCTGCCCTTGAGGTACTCGAAGGTGATCTCATCGGGAGCCACCATACCGGCTCTGGCGCCGGCCTCGATCGACATGTTGCAGATGGACATGCGGGCCTCCATGCTGAGGCTGCGGATGACGGAGCCGCAGAACTCGATGACGGCACCAGTACCGCCGGCAGTACCGATCTGACCAATAACGTGGAGGATGACATCCTTGGAACTCACACCGGGCGCAAGCTCACCGTCGACCTGAACCCGCATGTTCTTGCTGCGCTTGGTGATAAGGCACTGGGTGGCGAGGACGTGCTCGACCTCGGAGGTGCCGATACCGAAAGCGAGAGCGCCGAAAGCGCCATGGGTAGAAGTATGGGAGTCACCGCAGACGACCGTGGTGCCGGGAAGGGTGAAGCCCTGCTCGGGGCCGATGACGTGGACGATACCTTGCCTCTTGTCGCTGAGGCCAAAGTATGTGATGCCGAACTTCTTGACGTTCTCCTCGAGGGTGACGCACTGCGTCCTCGAATCATCCTCCTTGATGAAGCTGGCGATATCCTTCAGCGCTTTCCTGGAGGTGGTAGGGACATTCTACAGCGGGTCCGCGGGTCAGCTTGCAGTCCCACACATTGATTGCGAAGGGGTAAGGTATCATGGCCGCAAAAACGCTGCATGCGCACCCACGTGAAAATAGAAAACAGTGCGGTGACATTAAACTTACGTGATCGGTGGTAGCGAGGGTGCAGTCTGGCCTGCGAACTTGGCGTCCGGCGTTCTCGAGGCCCTCAAAAGCTTGCTATTGACAAGGGGTCAGTACTGGGCACTGGACTGCGAAACCGGAGCTCCCTCAGCAACTGGCGCTCAAACAACTTACAGGAGAGGTGACTTCGTGGACCAAGTGGCGGTCAATGTAGAGGAGAATGGTACCGTCAAGCTTCTCGTCGACGATATGGGCCTGGAAGACCTTGTCGTAAAGGGTACGGGGGGTACTCTCTGCTGACGGCATTGTGGCGGTTATGTGAAGGTCGGTGGTTCCCTGGCTGGTGAGGTAGCTGGGAATAGTTGGTTGGTTGGTTGGAGAAGGAAAGGGCGAAGTATATAACGCTGTCACAATCGGGGGACAACAAGAAAGAAGTCTTGGGAAGAAAACCGGCACACAGCAAATAAATAGGTCTGGTGTCGGGACTGTAGGTTGTTGTATGGATGGGTTGAAAAACCGGCGTGGGGTTGTCTAGCTTCCGGTTCGGCTAGGTCTGGGGGGCTTTGATGTCTCAACCAAATCTCGGAGGCGGAACCGTATATCGGCGATGCAGTTATCCTTCTCGGCTTTTGAGTTGGCAGCTGTTTCGGTTCTCGATCAACAAGACACAACGATGGCAAGGCTTGATAATCCCGGGTATAAAGTAGGGTAAGTGTTGGGATGTAGAAAGATTCCTGGGGAGAAAGTTGGCAAAAGCGGGAAAGGAGGTGAGACTGAGACGGCCGTGGCAAGAAAGCGAAAGCGGGCAGACACCGGACCTTTTTAAGTTTTGCCCATGTCAAGAGGTTGGGACCGATGACTACGATTGCCCATTCGCAAATATACATCAATCTAGGTATGTACAAACACCTGGAAATTAAACCAATCTTTCTGTTTCCCTGGCCGCCTGGCGATCCGCTCGTGGCTCGATTTCGTCCAGTGTTGTAGCAAATCCGCCTGCGATACGAAGCACTGGGCAAGAGACGACAGTGACGACTGACGGCAGGGCTGGGGCGGCCCGCCGATGCTCGGAGGACAGCATCAAGCTCCGGTTCACGGAATGCGGGGTGGGCTGGGTGGCCACTGGAATTTCTAAAGACATGATGCCCATTGGCCGCGCGCACGATTCCACTTGGCCAGTTCCACCCGCCCAGGTACGCACTGCCAGACGCTGTGACAACCACGACCGCCGCCATTGGTTCTTCCCGATCTCGGCCTCAACTGCTGCCACGTCGAGACCGGCCCATCCTGGAGGTTGATCCATGACGCTGCGGCATGCGACGGCTTGGGCGACGGCCACTACGCACGGCTACGGGGCGTTTGCAGTGGAGGCCACACGGGCTTCTTTCACGATGAAATCCCCGAACCATGGCCGGTGGAGGGTCCGGAGAAGAGAGCGGTTTGACACTGAAGGCATTCGAACAAGAGAGAATACGCAAGACAATGTTGCTGTACACTAGATCATCTTATGACCAATGTCCATTGTGCTGAGAGTAATGATATTTCCTCAGCTTGCAGTCTAGGTAAAATCTCCCATCCAATGTTCTGCCCCTTGCTGTTTGCAAGTATCAGGTCCGGTCTTCGGTACACCTCTCGCCGAGTACCTTGATGTCCCACTTCGTTCCCGCTCCACCATCACCTTTGCATCCTTGTGATTCATAAGAGAATATTTCCAACACCGCCTTCAACCCTCATTTCAGGTACGGATCCTCCTTGGGCAACTTGATACGTGAGAATATCCATTGTACAAATAACAAACTCCGAAGCAGCCTGGTGTTCCCTGAACGATGTTTTCGGAGTTTGAGAGACGTAATTAGGCGATACTTGATAGTGATAACAAACACTGAGTGCTTACTGCAAACAATCTCTTCTTCTTCATCCTTCCCATGTCAACGTGCCCATCGTCTGGAAAGGGAAGCTACAAGTACCACCGCACTCGTACCACACGATCCACCCATTCAAACAAAGTCTCCACAGGCGAGAATCCTCAACCATCAAACACAGTCAATCTTGTGATCACTCACAAACCCGCCAGCATTGCCAATCCTCCGATAATCGCCCTGACCAGACGGCACACAAGAACCGTGCCCCTGATCACCCACACTACAGCCGCGCCCGCAAAAAAGACAAACATCAGCGCAAAGACATAAACCACCACGTCTCCCAGCGTAGCCTGTCCCCGTGCGTACCTCTTGTGAAGCGGCGAGTCGAGATGAAACACCGGCCGCACAAAGGCCCAGTACCCACAGACAAACTGCGCTACAAAGGTTACCACTACTGACACCACGATCCGGACCCCGACCGGCACCTCGAAGGGCGGCCCTCCTGATCCCACTGCCACCATCGACCTGACAGGGAGTGCCAAGCCTGGGAAAAGCCGATACAGATCGTCACTAGCCGCCGCCCCATCTCCTTGGCACGTCTGGGGTTCACTGACTTTAGACTTCGGGTCTTGGCTTCTGGAACGACCGTCGTTGTCATCGCCGCCGTGGCCGGCGCTGTCCTTCAGCTTGTGACGCTTGTGACGCTTGTTCCTTTGTTCTGGTAATGACGTTATTGGACTTGTTCCCAACTCGACCGCCGTCGCATTTTCGGCCGCACCCGTTGCTTCCCCAGCTTTCATGTCTCCAGTTATGGCCTGTCCCGTGGTCGATGCCGAGTCCGATCCTGACGCCGATGCCGGGATCCCTTCCGACCCCGTTCTTTGGTTCGCTGGGTGTTGCGTAAAAGCTGCCCGCGCTGCCCCATGCACCATCGCCTGCATCAAAGTTTTGATATCGACCGAATTCTGGTTCTTCGACGACCAGCTCTTCGACTTCGCCAGACTTGGCCGGCGCGTATAAGTGGACGTGAGAGGTGGCCGTCTCTTTCCGTTTCTTGGATCTTGGATGTCCGCCTCCTTCCTCATCGTCTTGCGCATCTCCCAGCCCGGCTGTTCCCGAGGACGAGGCGTCGACACGCGCCCGGAGGTTTTCGCCTAGTCCTCCGTGCGCATTGTCTCTTGGGTTGACGATATAGTAACGCTGGCTGCTTTTGGCAACTCGTCCTGGGAAGCACGTGCCAGATCTTCTGCCGCCATCTCTGCAACCCGGTCCGCGGTCAGTGATGCAGTCCAGCTGTGGTGATGATGGAGATCTGGTCTTGCGAGTTTCGGCGATACGTTCGGTTGCATGCTGGGAGGGGAATCCAGCGGCGTCGAAGAGCCGTTCTTGGGTACGGCGCTCGGCGACAGGGACGATGTCTGGTGTGACGACGATACGGTTACGGATTCTGACGTCTCTTGATTCGTCTTGACTGCTTTCTTTCCCGACGTCTTTCTTGCCTTTTGAGGGGCCTTGGCTTCGGGTCCTTTGGGGCAGATTTCCTTTATGACGGAGGGGAGCTGACGGCGAGGACTGGACTCGCAGCCAGTAATGGTGATGATGGGTGTGCAAGCAGATTGGGGTTGTGGGATGTGGAGCGCCTGCCCCAACCCACTGATGTCCTGGGCTATGGAACTCGCCCATGCCTTGGCTTCTCTGGTGCTGTCCCGGATACTGCGCTCCAGGCCACTCAGATCCTCGATCAGCATATTTGCCCATTGGCAGGCTGGGTTCAGGTTCGTGAGGTCCAAATGTGGGTAAGTGACCTCGCCGCTGCTGGGGACGGGTGCCATAGGGGTTCCTGGCAACATCTTGCGCGAGACTGGGCAGCGATCTGGCACTGGGATCCTGGAGAAGGGCTTCTTTATCCCAGTCGGGCCCGGGACGGAACCGGTGTCCATCGGACCAGGGCCCAGTCTCCGGGGAATCAGTGGGTGGAAACGTAACCTGAGAGATTTCGTGTTGGACGGGAATGAGGTCGCTGAAGCGAGGCTTCCTCCTGACGGTACCATAACCGCCATTGTCTCCATCCCTAAAAAAGAATTCGAAGTGTGACTGGTGGTGGCTGACTCCCCCGCCTGAGCAGGTTCTACACTCTTGTTGCTTGGGCTCTGGCTTTGAACGATTGGACTTAGGTTTGGTGAAGCTGCAGATGACCATTGTTCCGATTCTTTGCTGAGTTTTGACGGCTGCCGAGGACCCGTCCGTTTCCCAGTACCACGCCTCTTTTCTTCACCCCGTGGCGATCCCTTGGGGCATGATTGGGGAGAACCGTGACGAAACTCCGTCATGTCTATGCTCGTTCTGGGCGTGATATTGTCTAACATTCCCGTGTAAGGGTTCGCCCCTGTCACTCCGAGGTAGTCACCGGCTTCTCTTAGAATGCGGCGCTGGCGCCGGGCTTCTTGCTTTTCCAGGAACAGTGAGCGAGCTCTGTTATAGCCCGGCACGGCCGATGATATAACGTTGTGGGAATCAGCAGTGCCTACATGAGGAGCTTGAGACGATGTGGGAAGACAACTGCGGTTTTGGGTTGGCACTGGTTTCCGCGATGGCATGGAAAAGGTAGGGATATTTCCGCTTTTCACTCGCCGTTCCCCCATGTTGGCCCAAGTTCCATCGAGTGATGAAATTTGGTTGTCGCCACGATGATGAGTGGCCTTGGGGCCGTCATCCGATCTCGTATTCAACCTCGATGTGATCTTCCTAACCGGAATAGGGGTTGCTTGGTTGAATTAGCCGTGGTGGTGCTTCTTCAGTCTCTGTGAGATGCTGGATGTTGACGTACCTTTAACCCTCGACTTGCCACTGATATTCGAATCTCTTCGAGGAAGTACCACAGGAATATTCCAAGCTTCAGAAACAATTGTATCGGGTGTACTCGGGTCGTGATGCCGAGTTTCGGCCTCACCAGGATCAGAATCTACACTCTTCTGCCTGGGTGTGGTGAATCTCCGAGCATTGGTGGTACGCGGCTGCATGGCAGTCGAGGTGTTTCGCTCCCCCGTCAAGATCTCATCAATCGTCGGATGCCCATGATCATGCTCATGATGCCGGAGCGTGAAGCCTTGTTCGGGACAGTTGCTCGGCCTCAAACTGTGAAAGAATTCTTTAACCGAGGCAGCGATGTTCTTCCGGCCACGGCTGATAGACGATCCCGAACTTTTCACCGACGCTGCCTTTCTGGTATGAGTGGGCTGGGCCGGCGACTGGGGACAGGTGGCTGGTTGTCTGTAGATGGGACCTGGCCAGGGCATGGCACCGTCGAGGCCTAATGGCGGTGGTTGGCATGAGTGTGATACGTGATGGTTGTGGGAAGCCATGATCTGCCTGCCCACTGACACCTCTCTGGACGGAGAGATGTACCCAACAGAACTATCTGAGCTCTGCCAAAAGCCTAGTGGTCTTGCTTTGTATGGGGCATCAGTGAATTCGCGGGCGGGATGTTAGTGAATACTGGGGGGAAGAAGTAAAGATATGATACGGATCGTGATGGGGGATGGGAGGGTAAAGAAAACAACATGATTGCGAGTAGTTAAGCAAGTAGACGAGCAAAAATATCACTTGTAAATTGAGTGTTCCATGGCTCTACATGCACTTGCTTCCATTGGCAAGAACTGGGTCAAACCTGGATGACGAGTGCGAGGGCTCTTTCCTGTTTCGCTGGTTGGTCAGAATTGTCATGAACGTCAACAACTCATCACAACCTCAAGGTCTGATGGCTTGGAAACTCAGCAGATCGCACCATCCAACCTACCTACATTTCAGTTGCGTTGATGAAAATGGCAGGCACTACCCCTAATGAAGTTCAACGGTTATACAAAATGACAAACGATACAGTAATGCCCGAGTACGGATCATGAAGGCATCGAGAAGAATTGATATAACAAACTGAATATTAGAAATGGCGTTTCAAAGGTGAAATTACGCATCAGTCGGATATCTGAACATATAAGAAAGTTGACCCGAGGTCTTGAGCCAACAGACAAACTAGTACTGGACTGTGAATTGCTGATTGTGCCTTATATATGCAAGCAGAAAAAAACTACTGGGTATATTACACTTCGTCTCCTCTATTTTTCTTCCTCTTCTCCCCGACACGAACGCTGAAAGGCCCCCTTCAGATGTCTAAAAAGCAACCATCACCATCCAACCACCGCTTCGACACCCAAGCTCCAGCTGGTTCCAGAGGTCCTGTCGGCCACGTTCATTGGACGAAATCAGAAAGTAAAAATACTAATCGCTATTCATCATTCCTTCATTTCCCTCATTATCATATTCCCCGATTCCGCTGGCGTCAAGTAAAATAATTGCGCGTCATGTTTGGAACTCAAAGACGGCCACTGAAAACCTCCTTCTTGAAGATCCTCACCCCCCACACATCGTAGAAGCGCATAGTCCCCAACTGCACCAGGAAGTTGCTCGACGAAGATGTCAACTCGTCATCTCCATGCCACTCGTCGGTACTACTCTCATCATCCCAGGTTTCCGGGGGAGAAAAGTTCGGGTATTGGGTTGTATTGCTTGATGTTCCATTACTGGCGGTAACCACCGTGGCCTTTGACTTGCCCTTGGCCTCTTTGGCCGTCATTCTTCTCTTCCTCTCTTCCACCGATTGCGGCTTGTTGAACTTGACATGATCCACGCAGTCGCCATCATTAATGGAAATCCATTCTAGCTTCGTCAAGGGAAACTGCGAGAGGTTATCGATCAGAAATTTCTTGCCCTCTATCGGTAGAGAGGGACACGGGTCATCGCAACGGAGGATAGGTATGTGAAGAGCGCGAAGGTTCCCGAGCAAGCGCGCGTTCTGGTTGAAGACATGCTGTTGAGGCACCGAGGTTAGTGAACTGTTCTGATAGATTCGGTCAGTCCTAGGGGCACTTACCAAACACCGCATACTCATGTTGCAGGCAAGCTCCTCGACATTCTTGCCACGCTTGCACAATAGCATGATGGTTTTGGTGTTCACATCCCACGCCGCACTGGCCAAGTTCTTGATCATGAGCCTCCGCAGACTAGCCATGTGCTTTGTGAGGGCCAATCGCCGAATATCGTCAATGGTGGTTTGGGTCTTGGAAGCGAAGCTCTCGGGCTTGTATTTAGCTTCTCTCTCGAGCAAGAACAGCTCGGTTACCTGATTCAGTTGGGAAACAAATTGCAAGAAAGTTGTCGTGACGTTGTCGGTGAAGATTTTGCAAAGCGGGAGGGGGTTTTCCTCATTCTGGCTCTTGAAGTAAGCCCAAATTGGTGCTTGTGGCCCAACGTTAAGGAGAGTGATGCGAGTAAGCATCCGAATATCAATGGCCTTGGAGAAGAACGACGCCTTTGCCGGAATCAGATAGATGCTGAGTGACTCAAGAGGCAATCCACGAGTAGCTCTCGTATATTCACTCCGCCGCTGATGCTGGGACTCAGCGGTATCCGAATTGCGAAGACCATAAATTTCCTTTTGCGAATCGGCTACCTCAGCCTCGACCACGTTGAGTTCGCTCCTAACTAGTTCGATTCCGTTGCTTAGCTTTGTAATCTCTTTCTCGGTTTTAGCGATGCGTTTGCAATCGACAGGCCCATCTTGCTCGCGCAGTTCTTCGGTTTCCTTGCGAATGTCGTTAGCTCGTGCCTCATTCATCTCAAGTTTCTTGATCAAAGTCTGATAGTTAACCTTTTGTGCTACCAAGTTGGCCACGGCCTTCTTGACAGAAGCGGGGTCAAGGCCGCCTGCTACCAACGACGACAGAGTTTGCGAAGGTGATAACTCTAGTACAGTCTCTGTGTCCTCTATTTTGGGACCTGGGGATCCCGGTTCGAGTTCGAGTTCTCCCTCAGGCTCTTCAATGTTGATGTCTTCCGGGGTGAATTCATCATCTGTTTTCTTGTTTCTGGCAGGGACAGAAGAATTCATGGGACCAGTTCCCAATTCCGCTGTGCTCGATCCGCCTTTTGCCTCGACCTTGGTCTGAGCAGACTGAGATTCGGAACTCGCAGACGTAGCGCCAGGCTGCTTTGTCTTTAGCGAAGTGACATAAGTACTGGCGGCAGTTTCGATGATATCAAGAGCCTCGCGTCGTAAGTCATCCTTCTCCATCATCAAAAGCTCTGCCGCTTTCATCACATGTTGGATGAATCTTTGGCCAGGATCCGCGTTCACTGCCTCCGCTGATATCTTTTCTTTTGCCTTGACGTCCTTCTGTGGTTTCTTAACAACAAAGTGCTCGACATCGAAGATGCGCCCCAAAACGGACTCCTGTGTCTTTTTCTCCTCCTGCGCCCGCTGTGCCTTCGCTCCGGTGCTCTCGACCGCATTACTCGATTGCGGACTCGGGCTCGAGCCAGGAGTGGACCAGACGGATTCCTCCTCATCACTATCGTCCGTAACGACTTCGGGAGCCGGTGGCTTCCGAGCCTGTGATGCGAGGAGATGTGAAAAAGACAGTTTCAGCTTGGTCAAAGTCCCGGCCGAGTTCCTAACACAGGACTTGATTTCTGTCACAATATCTAGATTATCGATATCGAGAACGGCGAGGCTCTTGAGGTTTCTGAATCCTGATAAGGTTGGAGGTTCTGTGAGGACCTGAGATCGCTTCTGCGCTTTTGGTTTGGAGGGGGGCTTGGGAGCGGGAGGCTGATGATGATGATGGGGAGGCTGCTGGGGAAAGGCCTGTAGATGAGGATGTTGTTGAGCGAAAGCATGTGGATGAGGGGGCTGTGAGTTATGAACAAGATAGACAGGATGAGCGTTTACAAAGTTCGAATTAGCGGTCGTTATCTGTAAGTCAAAGTCCATACCCTGCTGCGGAGGAACCGGGGGCGGATGAGTGCCTTGAGGCATCCAGTGTACCGGCGGCAGGCCGGGAGTACTGGACGGCGGTGGGTGAATAGCATGAGGGAGCGGAGGCGGCTTTTCATACAAAGAAGGGCCTGCCTGCATGCGTATGTGTACGTGGGCGATGGTTCGGATGTCATGTAGCACGGCGTATACAGGACGGCTCAGCTCGACGCGGATATTCCACCTGGTAGAGACACAAAGGTTAGCACAGGCGTTCTGGTAACAGGGTACGTGTAGAACTGGGCATAACAGGATGGGCGTACTTGAAAGTCTCGAGCTTATTTGCTTTGCGCAGAGCGAGGAGCAGAAGAGTGTTCATAAACTTGCCGCAGCTATTCTGCAACAGGTAGGGCTTATAAGCGGCTTCCCCCTTGCTACCGGCGCTAAGGGTGTCGAGTGAAAGATCTCTGAGATGTTGCGCATAGTCGTAATTGCTGGTCACGAAGGTATCCAGCCCGGCGGCCAGACCATCAATGGGGGAGTCGAATGACGGGTCATCCTCATCCGGGAAAACGATGTGGAACTGGCGATACAGCTGGGAAGCGGCAAGTTCTCGGCAGTGTTTGGAGACAAGGGCGAGACAGATGAGGTCTGGCTGGCAACAGTGCTTGACGATGTCCTTTTGAATCTCTGACGGCATGCCCAAGAAACTGTGAGGGTTCACGGTGGGCGACGCATGACTGTTCTCGTGCGAGGCCATGGCTGCTGCTGAATCGGCTGCCAGGTAAGGAAAAGACATCTAGGTTGATGCCTTTGTATTTTCTTGGAGATTTGCGGGGAGAAAGTCAGAATACCGATGCCGCAGGTACAGGTAGTAGAAGCAATAGTCTTTCTGTCAGGGCAACCGAGCAGCCGAGCGGCTATCTCTGCTTTTCTATGCGATGATGGATAAACGTGTGGATATGCCTCTGCTTTTCGTAGCTGTGCAGACGGGACGGGTCGGGACTTGATGGCCGCTGCGGCTGGGCACCAACAGCAACTCGGATGCACAGCTGTCGGGTACCGCGTCCTGTGGCGGTCGTCCTGGAGTCGTCTGTTTGTTCGGGCCGGAATATCTACCGTAAGAGCAATGTCCAAGTGAGGCCTAGAATATGTGATTGATGAGTCGTTCCGTGGATAACGTGACAGCGAGCTGGCGACGTGGAAGAAATATCGATCAATGTGTACCACACCGCCGCCACTTCAGCTTGTCATCTGATTGTTGTTGCAGTCTCTTGGGGAGTACCGAGCCATGAGAGAAAGCCCATTCGCCCGTTGAGAGGAAAGAATGAAGATGACTGAAGGAGTTGGTTCATTCCGTCAAGACGCGACGGCCCTGGGCTACAGTAGAGGTATCGAGTTCGAGATGGAAGTCGAAAGCGGGCAGTCTCCCTCTTCCTGGCTCTTGCCTGTCTCTTTGGTTGCCGATTCTAAGGGTCGCTGTCGTGGATGATCCCGATGGGCTGCCAGAAGAGGCAGGCCTGTGGCAGGGGATGGCTTGTTGACACTGCCCTGCACCCTGGAATGGGAAACTGGGGGATTGATCTGCTTTTTAGCGGGCACTGCGGGGGAACCAGGCACACCTAACAGCCCCAGGTGGGATTAAAAGGCGGGGTAGCGAGTTGGCGCAGCATGGCAGGCAGGCACGGACAGGGGACGGGAGGACGGCAATAGGCCCCGCTTACCCTTGGTCCATTACCATTGGACCTTTTACAGCTGAAGTCTCAGGGACGATGGCTGATTCAACGCCTTGGAAGGCTGTGATAACTCCACCGACAACAAACATAGTACATGCTTGTCTCTCTCGTTCGTGACAAGATTGATGTGACCCTTGGCCGATAAACCGAACAAGGACAGTCTAATACGGCTTGTTGTAGTTAGAAAAGGCCATTACAAAACTGTAACAGGAGTTACCGCAGTTATCCGAAATAATCTACCTGTAGCTGCCTTGACCTGTAGCTAGAGTCCGTCCCTTCATCCAGACTGCCTTGAGATCAGGTCAGAAGTGCTGTTTTAGCTCGCTTGAATGTATGATAAGAGTATCCATATTCAAGGTCTAGGTATAAGGTACGGAATGTGACGTGTTCGGTTTGTTCTTGTGACCATTCGGCAAGCCAACTGACTAGGTATCAACCATTTTGTCAGGAACGAGTCTCTCTTTCCAAGATGAATTGTCCCATAACTTGTTCGAATCTACAACAAAGTTTTAAGAGTCGAACACTTCCACTTCAGTTATCAACTTGAACTCCAATCACCAATGTGCCCTCCACACCCAGACCCAGAATGCGCACGAGTGGATATTGACCGTGGCTGCCTAGAAGCTAAACGTTAGTGCTCCATAAAGCCGGCTATGAGCGCAACGCTAACAATGGCCACCTTCACCGGCGTACAAACTGCATTTATTTCCGTGTCTTTCTCTTCCTGCAACTTTGAGTACCTGCCTGCTTTCTTGTTTCTTTTCTTTCTTACCTATCCACAGAATGTAATCAAATGTACTTCGAGCATCTGGCATCCATCCCATCTCTCCATCTCCAAATCCACGTGCCAACTCTCGGACTCCTGATTATGTGCATTTTGTGGCGCCCCATCTGTAACGCCAACCGTTCGCCTTTCGGACGATCTCTGCGCCCAGACTCTCTCAGCCTCCGTTGCTCCAATTCACCCCTGGCGTGAATCCGAGATTGAAAACTCAGCCTTCCCCCCCTTCCTAGCTCGTTTCTTGTTCTCACTTCTCTTCCCGCATCTTTTCAGTCTCTCTGCGATCTGTGTGGTCATAATCCGTTATTCAAGATGGCCGACGTGGAAGAGCCACAGTTTAACACGCTGGCGGAGCGCATCGCTGCCCTGAACCAGCAAAAGAACTTCAGCGCCCCTTCGACTGCTGGTAAACGACCTCCGCCTCCGCCCCCTGTTCGAGCTGCAACAGATATTCCTGTGGTTCCTCCGACATTACCGAATCGAAATGAAGGTCTCCCGACTCCGTCGCTTCCTCCACGCCCAACTCGGGCTGCTTCCGCTATTGACAGGCCTCCCCCACTGCCGCGACGAACCACCGAACAGGATATTCCCGAAGACAAGCCGATGCCCACCGTGAACAAGAAGCCGCCGCCATTGCCCTCCCGAAACTCTATACAGCATACCCCTCCGGCTCTCCCGTCTCGACGACCAACCCCCTCGGCTTCTCTTCCTGTCCCAGGCGTTCGAAGAAACTCCAACTCGTCCGACATCTCACACCTTTCCAATGTGTCCGCATCGTCCTGGAATAACACAGCCTCTTCGTCCGCGCGCACTAGCATTACATCGGATTCCGGCCATCCTCTTAGGAAACTACCGCCAGCTTTCGATCAAGCTAAGCTACCGCCACTACCTCCGACACGACGGGAGCTCGAAGCAAAGGCCCGGGAAGCACAGCAAGAGCAAGAAAGAGAAGCAAATAGATCAGCTCCGCCCGCCGTATCCCAAGGCCCCCCGCGACTTCCCTCACGTTCTTCTTTACCGCCTCCGTCTACTGCGTCCCGCGAACCCCCGGCACTCCCGTCACGCCCATCTCTGCCACCCAGGCTTCCTTCGCGGCCCGCTAGGCATTCTACCTTCCCCGACGTCGAGGAAGAGCCGGGCCCACCCCTTCCCAACCGCCGTCTGCCACCTCCAACACTCAGCGACAGACCCAAGTCGGTTCCAGAGCCAGCACCACCACCCATCCCGCTGAGTTCCCGACCTACATTTGATGCCGTTGTCTCTCGAAAAGCCAATGGCACCGAGGTCATTCCTCGATCAGTCTCCGCCCCTCCAGTCGGTCCAGACTGTCTCATATGCCGTGACTTCTCCGGGCCTGATACTGTTGCGGCGCAGCATCCAATCTCTTCGCTTCCACGTCATGACACTATCCGTTACCTAGCCCACGTCCTCTGCGATCCGTTCGACTCCCCCACTGACAAAGCCCGTGCCATCTTCACCTGGTGTCACCACAACATGGCATACGACACCCACGGCTTCTTCAATAATTGCATTCCGCACCATTCGTCACCCGCCGAGCAGATATTCAGCGGCAAGGCCGTTTGCCAGGGTTACGCAGATGTGTACAAAGCCATTGCCCTCGCTGCCGGACTCGACTGTGTCCTCATCAGCGGTCACGGCAAGGGGTTCGGCCACCACGATCTAGCCTCTGGCTCTTCTGTTCCTCCTGAAGAATCAAACCACGCCTGGAACGCGGTTCGCATTGATGGCGGTGAATGGAAGATCATCGACGCTTGCTGGGGCGCCGGCCACCTGGGGGACGACAGACTCTTCCATAAGAAGTTCAGTCCGGAGATGTTCTACCTCCCCAACGAGATCATCGGCAAAAAACACTTTCCAACGGACCGGAGACACTTTTACCGGTCTGATGGGCGCGTCTTGACTTGGGAAGAGTACATTCTCGGAGACGGCCCTACTCCGTGCTGGTACGGCGACGCGGACAAAGATGGACTGGATCAGTTCAGCCTGGAGCCGCGTACGGCACCAATTCCCGTCTACAGCGGCGAAGTGGTGCGGTTTCAGTTTAGCAAGGTGTGCGTGCACTGGGACCCGGAAAAGAACGGAGGGGGGAAGCAGTACCTGTTCGTAGTGGCGATCGAGGGGCGTGATGGCAGAAACAAGGATTTTGTGCCCTTGGATACGGACGGGTTCTGGTGGTGGACGGACATACCTGCCATTGATCTGGGAGCGCCGGGACAGAAGATCACCGTGTTTGCGGTGTCGACGATTGATAATAAGTGTGCGAGAGGGTTGACGAAGGAGGAGTGGTTGAGAAAGAAGGGGAGGTGTGCGTACAGCTTCGTGGGGATATGTGCTTGGGATTTGGTTTAAGGGAGTTGATATCTCGACTCTTTGCAATGTTACTCCAGCACATTGGATGAACGGGATAATGCGCACAGACAGAGATGTTCGGATGATGTGGATTTCAGACGGTCTTGGATTTGTTACCAGTTTCTTGGGGCTTCTTTATAAAGAGCATATCAAATGGAGCTGGGAGTTTTGGGTCCTTGGTCTTTTCGCGTCCGGTGGGAAATAGGTTACATACTATCATCTAATGATCAACCTCCTTGACAGCATTTCAACTCCCGAGTTTGCCTACAAATAATGATAATCGAGGCAACTAGGTTGCCTCTCTGTAGTATCACCCACCTGTAACGTTAATTTCAGCCCTCGGCTATTCACTGATAATTCAATTCCCCTCCCTTAAAACACCAACATGCACCACAAACCCCGATGTTCCCCCACCTCCGCCCTCACTCTTCAGCCCATCAATCATCAGGTCATCAGGCACCCTCCAACACCGAAAATCCTGCACGAATCGCTTTATCCACGCTTCGAAGACGTCCGAGTTCCTGAGTACTTGGGCCACCACCACCACCGTCGGCCTCCCTCCATTATCGGTGGTGGTGGCGGTGGTGCTGCTGCCGCGTAGCTTGCAAATATCCACACAGGTGGTAACGAAGGGATCAACCAGCGCCTCGTTGTAGATGCAATCGCAAGCAACCACCAGATCGAAACTCGCAGCAACCGGCTGAGCAAGTGAGGAGGTGGGCGTATCCTGCTCCCAATCTAGTGCCCTGAAAACCAATCTCTCTCCCGGTCCCTTCTCTTCTGTTGCCGATGATGATGACGATGATGATGATGCTTTCTTTGACCCCTTTCCTCCTCCTCCTTTCTTGCCCTTCCCTCCCTGACCACCACCACTCCCGACGAGAGACTGCTGCTGCTGCTGCTGCTGCTGCACTACAGACGACCAGTTCTCGTTGATGTTGCGCTCCACCAGCTTGGAGACGTACGCCTGGTCGGTGAGGACGTACCTACCAACGCGGGGGGCAAGTAAAAGGCCGACGATGGCGGAGGTGCCGGCGCCTAGTTCGATTACGGTTGTCGTCGTCGTCGTCGGAGAAAAAGACGATGAGGGGCTGTTATTATGGTTGAAGAGGTTGAGGTGCGTGGAGAGAGGGTTCGAGGCGGAGGAAATCCAGGTTGCGAAAAGGGGGGTTATTCGCCATGTTACTTGTTGAGTGAAGACGAGAGTTTTAGTGAATGCTTGGATAGGTAGAAATCGGGGTGTGAGTTTGAGGGAGGAAAGGGGAAAGTGGGAAGCGGGTAAAAAGGAAGGAGGGTTTAAGAAGTATGCCACGAAAGAGGTATTAGACAGGGTCTGGATAGCGTGTGTCCAAATAGGTAGGGTTCAAGTAGCAAGACCAATTGGTGCAGGGAGGTACAAATTTATGTTGATGCGCACGAGTGACTAGTCTATACTTGTACATATGCGACTTCGTGCACACGTGTAGATGTGTGCTCAATGCTACAGCAACATATGTAGGCTGGAAAAGCACAGGCAGGGAAGATGGAAGCGCATCGATAACGGATGCCAAAGTCAACAATGAGAGCTGTTGCTCGGGCAACGGTTAAGGAGATGAGTGACAGATCGTCGTCGCATGGGGCAGGCGGCCAGCAATGGACGAGTAATGAGTGAGGGTCAGGGTCAGGGGTAAACAGAAGGAGGGTAGGGTACCGGTGGTGAGGGGTCCCGAGGAGCTGGTGCAATGGCATGGCTAGGAGGGTGGGTTTTTCTTTAATTGATTTACGCACCGGCTCCGGTGGTTCCTCCGGCACGGGCCGAGGAGAGGATTCCCGGTGATTGATGGATCGTAAGCTCTCGACCGGCCACGGTGAGTTGCAACTCGGTGGTCTTGGGATCGATGATCCCCAGATCTGATGAAGGCAGGTCTTGGGCGTAGAGATCATATGTCTCTGTTTGTTGATTGGTTGTAATTTCCAAGTCAGTTATGTGAGGCTCTGTTTACTTAAAAGGCACTTTGCGCGCAAACCTTCATCAGCATCGTCCAAGTCCTTGATCTCTTTTCCGAGCAATCGCAAGAAGCTTTTCAGCTCTTCGCAGCCCCCCTCATGATGCCTCTCCATTCTGGTTACCACTGAGTGTGCGTAGTCCGGACTCGCTTCGTTGTTGTTGCTGTTGGCTAGCTACTTGCCACTTACAGACTGACGCACAATTTGATGCAATGCGTGAGTGCGAGCGAGATGCCAACCGACCCTGCAAGTTACGAGATAGGAAACCACAAAGACGACATCCAGTGGAGAGCAGACAGAGCTTGGCAAGGAGCCTTGGGGAAAAAAACAAGAAGGAAATGCGGAGGCGAGGAGGAGAGACAGACACAGGGACTGGCCTGGACGGGGCAGACGGCAGACTGGGATGACATTATTTTGTTGAGCAGCCGGAGTGGAGAAAACCGACGAATCGCAGCCGTCCGGGTCTCCATTTCCAATGCTTGGTCCGGCGGGACAACAGACGACAGTCGGACAGCTTTGCAGGAAGAAGAGAAGCAATTGGGCTTTTTGTAGGGAAGGAAACCAGAGAGCATCCCTGGTGGTGATGTATGCTGTTCCTGCTGTCCTCCCGGACATCTCCTTCCCTCCGTCTTATGTACATGGGCTTGTGGTCGAGCCGGAGCACTTCGGGTTGCGGGTACTTGAAGGCGGAGGGATGCGCGCATGGGAGATGCATCCCAGCTGTGGAGGCTCTCGGGACGGATGTCAAAAAAAGGCGGGGAATGAAATGTCTTGGAGTCTTGGAAGCAAGCTTCCCGCTTGTAGATTTCAGGTCGAAAACCAAGAAACAATCACAGTGACCGTCATCACACGCCTGCGCACCCACTTGGACCATTCTCGCTTGTTTCCGTGCCTCTTTCAGGATAGCTTGCCAAGTTGACAAGTTGGTTAGATCGTGGAGTCTGGGCCTCTGGGAAGAGTGAACTTGTGGTACACGCAGTCCTTCGGGGCTGATGTTGTGATTGTGCTCCTATGGTGTTGAATTCTTGTATGAAGGTATCACAGGCGCAATGCTGTTGTCGTTGGCCGAGATCCTTAATACTAGACGGGAGAGTCCCATTCGATGTGACGACTTGCTCGGCTCCGTTGTTTCGCTCCTGTGGCTCTACCCAAACCCTACCTTACCCTAAAGCATCGTAGCATCTCGTAGTATCGCCAAATTTCTTTTCTTTTTGTGCCTAAATAGTGAAGCCAACAGTGCCCGCTTACTGCCTCGTCCATTCAAAGGCAATCCAGCAAATACTCCGAGACCGCCCAAGGTGATGCGCTAGAGGTAAGGTCTGCCCGGCTTGTTCGGAAGAGCTCCACATTGATCCAAATCGGAGAGCACTAGGCCGTGTTTAGTGTTTGGAGGAAGTTCAAGTTCATGAAAGAGACAGACGGTCTGGAGAAGGGTCAGTCGCGGCAAGACAAGATCAACAAAGAAAAAAAAAAGGGGTTGAGACGACGTCTGCGAACTGGTTGCTGCGATGCGCCATGTATTTCAGTGTGCAGAAGCGCTCGAAATGGACACGATGCATGGAAGTGACTTTACCAGCACTGCATATGTATCCATCTCTAACGTTACGTACCTACCTAGGTACACTACACTAGAGTGGTGACATTGTTGGCTTCCACTTGTGCCGGCCACAGCACTTTCCCAACAATGGAGAAGTTTAGAGACGCGCTATCCTTACTCGATTAGCGCATCTCAAGGCAAAGCTGTCTGTTTCGTCATGGGAAGTCTCGCGGGCAAGGGCAGACGGCAAGGGCCAAGAGTTGCAAGAGCACGTTAAGACCGCGGCACCTAGAGGTAGAGAAAGCTCGAGCCACGCATCTGTGTGCTTGACTGCGCTAGCCTGCCTGGCGTCATCTGCCCTGGCCAGATGGCTTTGGAGTGGGGCTCTTGGTGCAGGCAGTGGACCAATGGGCCCCTTGCCAGTCCAAGTGGGCAGTCCCCAAAATGAAAATAACATCCCAACCCCAACTGAGCGCATCCCGTCCAAGTCTCAAGTGGAAGTGCCGCTGTGGCCATCGTCCCGTCCGAGGAACTGAAGAGACAGAAAAGAAACTCCTTTCCCCTTCCGTTACTTCCACCTCCACCTCCACCTCTATTCTTGTCCTCTCTCCCGTCCCGTCTTCTTCCCCCGTTCTTCACCTCCATACCTATCCTATCCATACCTATCCAAACCACCAACAATCTCCAAGTCGCATTGCTGATTACAAGACGGCGACACGACCTTCCACATCCGCACACACACACACACACACACACACCCAAGACCCGCAACCGACACTAGGGCGGGATTCTGTTTAGCGCGACCGCGGTCTCGGCAATCCGTGCATCTCCTCCCCCATTTCTCGATAAAGACCGGCTTCCTCCCTGGCAGCGACCCCTCCCGACCAATAGAGAAAACCACGCTCTCGAGCTCTACCTATCTAACTCCTAATATCATCGCCCATCATGGTCATCCCAACGTTGACGCCAGTCCCCAAGCTGGTCGCCAAGCCCCCCTATACTCTCGATGTCCCAGGCCAGACGCCCGTCGAGGGCGAGACTCCTGTTCGTCGCATTCCCCTCGCCATCGACGGTCTGCATGCCATACCCCCAAACAGGCGATGGGGCGAGAATGAGGCCATCGGTGAGGAAATCGATACCGTCTACAAACTCGTCAAGTGGGCTGCCCTCGCACATGGCGAGTCCCAGTGTATGGGCTCCCGCAAGCTTGTAAACACGCATGTTGAGACCAAGAAGGTCAAGAAGATGGTGGATGGTGAGGAGCGCGAGGTGGACAAGAACTGGACCTACTTCGAGCTCGGCCACTACGAGTTCATTACCTTCAAGGACTACGAGCAGCTCACGCTTGACGTTGGCGCTGGTCTGCGCGCCATCGGCCTCAACAAGGGCGACCGTGTCCACATCTTTGCCGCGACAAGCCAGAACTGGCTCGCCATGTCTCATGGTTCCGCGACCCAGTCCATGCCCATCGTGACTGCCTACGACACACTCGGCGCCGAAGGTCTCAAGTACTCCATGGTCGCTACCAATGCCAAGGCCATCTTCCTCGACCCCCATCTTCTCCCTACCCTCAACGGCGTTCTTGAGCATGCCAAGGGCATCACACACGTCATCTGGAACAACCAGAACAAGGTCAAGGAAGCCCACATTGAGGCTCTCAGGAACGAGCGCGGTGTTACTGTCTTGAGCTTCGATGAGCTTGTCCAGCTCGGCAAGCAGAACCCCGTCGCGCCCGTCGCGCCCGCCCCTGAGGATCTCTGCTGCATCATGTACACCTCCGGTTCTACCGGTACCCCCAAGGGTGTCCCCCTGAAGCACAGCAACGTCGTCGCTGCGGGTAAGTGGCCGCAAACTGTTTTTTTCCCCTCTTCTCTGTACGTGAACTGATATTAACGTCCTTGTTACAGTCGCTGGTGTCTGCCCCGTAGTCCAGCCCTTCGTTGGCCCCGGTGACCGCCTCCTGACCTACCTTCCCCTCGCTCACATTCTCGAATTCGTTTTCGAGAACGCCTCCCTCTACTGGGGTTCAACCATGGGTTATGGTAACCCCAAGACCCTCTCCGACACCTCCGTCCGCAACTGCCTCGGCGATATCCGCGAGTTTCAACCCAGCGTTTTGGTTGGTGTGCCCGCCGTCTGGGAAACCGTCAAAAAGGGCATTCTCGCCAAGGTCAACGCTGGCAGCCCTCTCCTCCGCAACCTTTTCTGGGGCGCACTTGCTCTCAAGGAGAAGCTTATGGGCCTTGGTCTTCCTGGAAGTGGTCTTTTGGACGCCATTGTGTTCAAGAAGATCAAGGATGCCACTGGTGGTCGCATGAAGCTTTGCTTGAACGGTGGTGGCCCTGTCGCCAAGGATACCCAGAAGTTCATCTCCATGGCCATCTGCCCCATGATTATCGGCTATGGTCTTACCGAGACGACCGCTATGGGTACCCTCCAGAACCCCAATGAGTGGACTGCTGAGTCCATTGGCGCCATGCCCGCCTCGATCGAGGCCAAGCTCGTCGACTTCGCCGACGCCGGTTACTTCGCCACTAACAAGCCCAACCCCCAGGGTGAAATCTGGCTCCGTGGCCCCTCTGTGCTCTCCGAATACTATGAGAACCCCGAGGAGACCGCTGCCGCTGTGACCGCGGACGGCTGGTTCAAGACCGGCGACATCGGCGAGTGGGACCAGAACGGCCATCTCAAGATCATTGACCGCAAGAAGAACCTCGTCAAGACTCTCAACGGCGAGTACATTGCTCTTGAGAAGCTCGAGTCCATCTACCGCTCCGCCGCCGTCGTCGCCAATATTTGCGTCTATGCCGACCAGGATCGTTCCAAGCCCATCGCCATCATCGTTCCCGCGGAACCCGCCCTTAAGAAGCTCGCCTCTTCGAGTGGTGTCAAGGGTGACAGCTTGGAGGAGCTCGTACACAACAAGAAGCTCCAGGCTGCCGTTCTCAAGGAGCTCCAGAACGCCGGTCGTGCCGGCGGCCTTTCTGGCATTGAGATTATCGAGGGTGTCGTCATGTCGGATGAGGAGTGGACCCCCCAGAACGTGAGTTTTCCACTGCCTACATCTGTTTGTTTTACCTAACCCATCGCTAACCAAATGAATTACAGGGTCTTGTAACGGCCGCCCAGAAGCTCAACCGCAAGGGCATTCTCAACAAGTACAAGAAGGAGGTTGATGAGGCTTATGGCCCCAAGCAGTAGGAGTTCTGTTGCCACCTACCTGATCTCTCTTGTTGTATATGAAAAAGTACACCCTTGTTTTTGTTGTTCATGTCTATGTCTATGCGTGTCTCGGGGCGCGAATTATGTTTCCACTATACCACTCCTAGTTATTTATGTTACGTTACGTTACTGTTGTCGGCGACGGCGACCGAAGGGGTTTCCAAGTCCCCCTAGCTATATGTTTGTTATGTCGTAATGGGCTTTTCCTCTCTGTTCTATAAGCGAAGAATAATTGCGTTGAGATAGTTTTGCCATCTACTTGTGCTACACTACCCTTTTTCTAATTCTTCTAGGGGTCCTGGTTTGCGTTGTTTTGCTTGATGGATTTCCTCTCTGGTCTTCCGTCAACAGGAGGATCAGCTCTCTTCTTATACTCTTCGCTTCCACTCCTTTGTCGGGTTCAGGTTGGGAAAGGGGTTTTGATTGGGGCTTGTTTAATACGAAACGGACGGGCGAGTATCTATTGATGATACCCCATTGTAGTAGCCTTTGCTTCTCACGCTGCGTATTGATAACAGTACACACTGTCATCGATGTATACCTACACCTGGCTTTGGACACGACGGACCAATTCCCAGTAACGTCTCTTTTGCTTGAGGCAGAATCATATCACCGCTAACACATCCATCCTCTTACTGACTATAAAGAATATAGTCTCGAATATTTCCAAGTGACACCCGTATACGGTTTGAAGGTGACGGAGTGAGTGTTGAGACAGATGAAGAACTGCATCAGGAAAGACTAAGAGATAGGTCAAATGAAGACATAGACGACGACCATGAGTGGGGTAAGCAGAGAGATCATTGCATCACGCATCTGAACGAAAACGGGGGGCTTGAATATAAGAAAAGAAAATAAGAAAAAAATAAAAAATAAAAAATAAAACACTCACGTTGGTATTATATCCCAGAACGGGTTGATCTTGGCAAGCAAGATGACGATGATGTCACTTGTTGGGGTGTTGGCAGTGTTGACTTACAACTAGTACAAAAAAAATAAAAAAAATAAAAAAATAAACCTCATCTGTTCATGTCAAACCTGGCGGTAGGGGAGAGTACGCGGGAATTAGAGAAAGATCACAGTCAACAGCCCGGTTATCACATCATGAAGGGCTCGAAACGGATGAAACGTTGAAAAACATTGCTAAACTCTCAAAGAAAAAAATACCAAGCCTAAAAGTATCCACACACACGACGCATAAGAGGTAACTTCTAAGTCAAGGTCGTCCATTGTTGTAATTGACCAAACCGAAGTAGTGTGTTCGTTCGTTCCATACCAGCCAGGTAACGCCGTTCATCACGACTTCCTTCTCTTCTTCCTCCTTATTCCGTCTCTATCCCCTCTCACTCTGACTTCCCTTTGTGTGCTCTCATGTCCTTCCCCTCTCCCTTCCGTCCAATCCGTGTGATCACCAGGTCTGGAATCTCCTCTTTCAAGACCTAAGCCAAGAACAGCACAGCCCCAAAGACCACCACATCCCGGTCGACATCTAGACTAAGAACTGGGTCGAATGGGTGGTACCTAGCGGCGAGGCTCATTTCCGACCACAGAACCATAGATGAGACGCCCCAACAGCATGTGGCCGGCTGTGCTTTCTTGTTATCTTGTCCGATCGATGTATGCGCGCACACTTATCGAGCTGGGCCGAGCCGAGATGGCTGCACCCTCTCTCTTCCCTTCTTTCTCGCAACCATCCCCCCTTGTCCATCACGCTTTTCCTGGGATATCTTGCTTCCAAATGAACAACTGATTTCTCTTTCTTTTCCACCCTTTATAACTCCAGCTCTGCCTTGTTTCGGGGAGATGAAGCTTTGCCTGTTGGCGTTGCAACACACATCAAATCATGCTCCTCCTCTTGGTAAAATTTGCTTCGCCAGACCGTTGCGCGCCGTCCCCCCCTGTGGCTAAACGAAATAACTCGAATGATAATTGATGAAAAGAAACTTGGTTAGACGAGGCCATCGTACAAGGAGAGGGCGGATACGATTGTCTCGTCGCGCTGGCTGCCCTCCTTGAATTCCTTCATGTCGAGGCTGCCGTTTTCGTCCTTGTCCATCATGCGGAAGATCTTGCTGACGCGCTTCTCGGGAGTATCTTCGTCTTCGGGGAGCTTGACCATTGAGCCGACCTGTTTTGAAGGATCAGAATGTTAGCGTACAAGATTGCGACGACACGGGAAGGGCTGTAGAGAGATAAGTAGGAAAGGGTAAACGCACCATCTTGTAGATCGCCTCAACGATCTTGAGCATCTCGTCGTAGGTGATCTTGCCATCGCCGTCAATGTCGTACAGTTGGAAGGCCCAGTCGAGCTTGTCCTCCATCTTGCCGCGGCTCGTGACGCTCAAGGCGCAGATAAACTCCTTGAAGTCGATGGTGCCAGACTTGTCCGTGTCGAATACGTTAAATACGTAGTCGGCGAATGACGATGGGTCGCCGAAGGGGAAGAACTGTGCGTAGATCTTCTGGAACTCGGCCTTGGTGAGCATGCCGGAGGGGCAATCTTTGAGGAAGCCTGTTTGTGAATGAACTTGTTAGAGGCTGTCTATGGAGCGAAAAAAATCGGTTGGTAACGAGGGCGCATAGCGAGTGCTTGCGATGGGGGGTTGCGCCGCATCAATCAGGGCATGTAATCGTTGGCGGCGGCGACGGTGTTCAAAGGGGCCGTCGGCGATATGAGAAAGGGGACGGGGGTAGGTAACACACCCTTATACCATTGCTGCAACTCCTTCTTGTCAAAGTGGGTGGCCTTTTCCAACTCCTCCAGCTTATCACGCTCGAGCTTGCTCTGCCTGTGTCGGGCGGGGTTCAGTGTCAGCCTCTTCATCTTGCTTTCAGTTTTGGGAGATTGCGCAGAGGAACGACTCCTGCTAAAGAGGCCCATTGTATGATATGTAGAATTGGGTGAAGGACAGGGTAGGTCGACGGTAGAGGAGACTTCAGCAAGACGGATCACGGTCCCTCCTCCACTGCTGAGAAACAGGTGTGCGGTGCGTATTGATGATGATGATGATGGGATGCGGAGAAAGCGGTCGGGTGGTGGGTGCTGATCGGGCAAGAATCGCGGAGATTTCGGGGGACTTGGTCACTCACGATTTGCCCATTTTCGGATAACTCGGTACTATTTAGCAAATGCTGATGTCGTTCACAAGGTGGTCCCACGATGCGGTGGTTCGAGGGAAAGGGGTCACTCGGAATGGCGTCGCGTACGGGGTTGGCGCCGAAAGGTCGGAGGAGGGGTTCGGTGACGATCCGTGGGTTTTCTCTCAGGGATACCGTTAACGTTTGTAATTGACTTGGTCGTAGGTAACGAGACGCTGTGTGAAGGGCAAGACGGTGCTCGAGCGATGGGAGCACGCAGCCTTGTATGGTGGATTTATATTGTCGTCGGGCGATAGGATAGTTCAAGTAGCAGACTCGGTAAGCGGCAATCAGTGGCCTTGGGGTTGCACCGAAGAGTGAAGAGAAGTAGATAGGAAAAGATGTCGAGGTGTTGGGTTGTAATGGCAAAAAGAAAAAGAAATGGGATGAGCAGGTCTAGACAGGTATTGGCACCTAGCACAGGAGTGTCAGGGTGCAAGGCGAAAGGCAGGGCAAAATGCGCGGGAGATCGGAGGTGATGACGGCGGGAGTCTGGCGAGATGGGCAACGTTTGATGCAGTGCCCTGGAGCTGCTGCACTAACTGCAGCTAACCACTGTAAGTGCCCTGGCCGTTATTAAAATGTGGAACTAGAGTGACTAGCAGGGGACCATATGTTAGCCAGGAGGTAAGGGACACCCGACCGCTCGAACCTGAACCTGATCCGCCCGCTCGTTTCGTGCGGCGCCTCACCTCGACTCCCTCCCGTCCATCGGTTTGACGCCGGGCCTGGCATGAAGAGGCCAGGCTGTTTCTGACTCGAGTCCTCTTCCTTTGCTCGAGAAACCTGCCTTGTACCTGCTCGTGCTGCTTGAGTACACTACTGCCGATGAAGCATCATTTTCATGCGGACTTTTTTCCGAACATCCAGCTTGTTCTCCAGCATGTGTGTTTCAGACTTTACGTGGGGCCCTCACTCCTCTCTCCCAAGGAACTCGGTTGATATTCGCATCCATTTGCAAAGAGGGGCAACGGGCGGGATTTCTAATAACTGGGACAGGGGCTGCACGGCCAAGGAACAAATTCGATCGGGTTCTGGACGTTTGGGTGTAGGCAGCGCATGCGCCAGCTATCATGCCAGGTTGGCTGGAAAAACTGCTGCTCTCTGATTTGTCGGGCAGGGAGCCCGAGTGACAAGAAGGGCAGGTCTCCAGAGCCCGCGCCGGAGGATGAGAGCGCTGGGAGGTAAACGGAGGCCACCATTCAACCAAACCAACATCAATCGGCAGCCCAGATCCGTACGAAGAAGAGATAGGGGAGGCGACTTCGGAAAAGACATTTTCTGACAAGATATACTTCAGAGAGATTCTAGCGCCGCCATCCGAGCAACATGTACTTCCTTCAGGACCAAACTCTCGGGCACCCATGCCCGGCGGCAGGCTCATCTCAGTTTTTGGCGTAACAGTGGAAGTTCTCGATATACAAGTAGTTTCCGCTCGATGTCAAACAGCAAACCTCTTGACACCAAAATGCGCATATTGGACCGCGTCGATGCTCTGTTCATCATGTCTAGCACCACACGTAATCAACGGCCCTGGTACCAACAATTCTCCTGGGTATTTTGAGGCTCTGTCTGCAACATCCAATCATTATTCGCTCCGAGGAAGCCCAAAGCCCAGAATGAGAAGTCGTTCGCCCCACTCCGTCATTAACGGTCGACCACTTGAACACCAATTTTAATAACACCAAAGGTAAAACGAAGTCTATTGTCAACAAACATAATCGGGCCCTTGATATTCTCTCTTTCAAAACCCTCCACCTGATCGGACCTCCACGGCGGTCTGAGAAAAACAGGTTGTTCTTCAGCTCCTTTGCAACTTTGCGACTTTCCTACTTGGAAGATAGTGCCGGACTGACGTAGTAAGGAAAGGAGGCAGTGCAAAGCCCGCCAAGACATTGACTGGCTCGTACCGATCCAAACAAATCCACTTGAATCTGTCCTCTCCTCAGAAGAGACGGGATCTTCCTTCTTGTGGTATGTATGGGGGAAGGCAGACGATTCCGGTCTAAGGAGAAGGAGAAAACTCTGGTGCAACAAAAAGGCGTTCTGGAAGATCGTGAGAAAGAGAGGGAAAAGATAACCGATGACGGAAGGACTACTAACAAACTCCGATATAGCTCCACTTTTTCTTGTTTCAACACAACAAGCTTCACTAGTACCTACCTACATACCTCTACCGGCTGTCAATAAACGACGCCAATCTCTATGCCAACAATACTGAAACCCTTTAGTCATTCATAAAACAATCCAGCAAAACCAGCATTGATTGACAACACATATATAAACTACCGCTCCGACACTATCTGGAGGTAGCCAAGTGGTCGGCCAGACTAGTTTAGTGTCTCTGAAGCCTCAAAGGCTCAAAGGGGGCAGTGCCATCGTTGCCTGTTTGGTGGAATGCTGTGTATGTGAGGTGAGAGACTCATAGCATGAGCCTGGCAGAGGCGAAGTGAGCACAAAGGAAGAAAGAGAAACCGGGCCGAGTTTACCATTATGTTGGAGGTTATGAGGTTCGATTTTCCTGTTGGCACATTTGTTCACAAGTTTGTCCAAAAGGAAAAGCAGAAAGAAAACACATAAGAAACAAAATGATTTTGGAGAGTAAATCAGAGTTGGTATTTCGCCCACTGCATGTTGTGTGAATGAATATGCCGTATGACTATACAGTGGTATAAAGGGGGAAAAAAAAAAAGCGAAAAGAAAAAGGCGTTCTAGCTGTTGCTAAGCCGCATCTGCTTGGGCGAGCATTTCCATATATGCATGCACATTGCTGGAGATGGCTCAGTCATTCGAGCATGTACATAGCTCGGCATGTAGCTCAATCATCCGAGCCTCAAGGCGATGCAATGACATGCCACCTCTGAAACGAGTTGTTCTGGCTCTTCCGACCATTTTGTTGGACACAGGTATGAACTCTTGCCACTCCCCTGGTCAAGTAAACAAACCCCCTTTGACGCCCCCCCCCCCCATGGTTTTTCCCCCCTGAATTAGCAAACCCAAACTTTTCCTTCCTTCACCCAATGACAACTTTCATGCTGAGACTTTCCAAGAAGCCACTAAGATCCTCCTTCTTGACCTCCACGACGCAGTGCTCAAAGCTGTCGATACGCACTCTGGCATTAGTCTCCGCCACCACGTCTTGGAACGCTGTTCCGAATTTGTTGAGGCCGTAGCCCCTTTCAAGTTCTTGATCAAGCTCGTCCTCATCTTCATCCGACTCGTCATCGTCGTCCGAGTCCGAATCAGAGAGATCCGAGTCGTCGTCACTATCTTCCTCGTTGTCCTCTTCCTCGTCCTCATCACCGCCGGCGTCGGACTTGGCTTTCTTTTTCTCTTCTTTTTCCTTTCTCTTGGCCTCCTTCTTCTCGGCCTTGATCTTGTCTTTGATCCTTCTCTGCATCTCCTTGGCATTCGCTTTGGCTTCTTTTTCTTCGGCGCGCTTCTTGGCCGATTCACGGTCGAGGAACTTGGTGTCTGGCCCACCGCCGCCACCAGTACCGACGACGACATACACTCCGCGCTTGTCATCTAGACTAGCCACTACGAGAGGTGTACCACGACCGCCATGGGCGAGCTTCCCGCCAGTGGCTTCTTTTTCCTGTTCCGCGAGTGCTTCACCGATCCAGAGGGCTAGCTTGGTCAAGGCGCCGGGGTGGTTGAAGAGTGTCGCATCTGGTGAGTCCTTGACCACACACATGCGGAATGCGCGCAGATGGGATATTTGTTTCTTCTTCAAAATTGTCGTGCCAGTAGTGAAGATGGCCTTGTGTAGATACTGCGCCGTGGGAAGGCCAGCCTTAAGGGCCTCGATGTCCTCCAGCGCATCATACGCCTCCCAGAACCTGGGGATCCACTCCTCACTTTGGCTCTGGTTGTTGTCTACGTCGAGAAGATCCTGAGATGGACCAGCAGGAAGATCATCAGCACTAGTGGTGTTCTTCCCCACTTCCAACAGGGCTCCGACTACGACACCGACATCTTGCGCACTCAGGGTTGCCCTCCAACCCCAACTGCGTACAAAGCCCCATCCATCTTTGGCACCTCCGCGATCTTTCCCGTCCGTGTCTATTGTCGGAACAAGTTCGTCGAGGTTGTAGAGAGACGCGTATTTTAGTAGTTTGGTGCGAAGTTCGCGCTTCAACATCATGTCCATGTGGGCATAACTCTGCTTGCACTGCACCAGACTGACACCCATCTTGGCGAGAAGCTTGTGTAATCGCTTCATGCCAGCCTCGCTCCACGTCTTTAGCCGAGAGAAGAGGTAGGGTGAGTGAAGCATGCTGTCGTATAAACTCCAGTGCCTAATAAGCAGGAACTTGGGCTCCGGCGACAACCTGATACTGGTATCCTCCGGACTTCGAGCGGTTGTTGGGATGATTCCCGTTGTCTCGGGGAGCACCCGGCCGTTTCCTATCTCTGGTGGGTTGAGACGTCTGACCTCGTCCCGCAGAAGCTGTCGTATTCTCGCACCACGCATGCCGAGCCAACCGGAAATGCGGGCGTCTGATCTGCGAGCTGCTACCGCAATACCGGCAGATGAGCGGCCATACAGCTCCATCGACGTGACTCCAACGATCGCTAACCATAGCAGGTCGTTGTCTTCACGACCTAGTTCTGACGCAAGGGAGTACATCATGGACGAGATGGGCTCCGAATATGATGTACCCAGTCGGTAGTACTCGCGCAGAACTCCCTCGTTTTCTCGTCGTAGTCGTAGCAATCTTCGTCGGAGAGTGTTGGCTGAAGGGCCTCTGGGTGGTTGTGCTGCAGGCGGAGCTTCCAGCGCGTCACTGGAAAATAGGGCATCGTCGCGTAGAGATATGAGACCACGGTGTTGCGGCCGGCGAGGCGAATCTGGAATTGGACTCGACTGTATCTAGCATGAGAGATGTATTACTACGTAGAAATCGGAACGTACTCACCGAATTGCTTCTTCGTCGCTGTCTAGGTCGGTCGTCTTCATCATCGTCCTCGTCGAAGTCAGACCAGGATTTCCTCTTTCTACCCGCAACAACTGATGTATCACCAGTGTCTTCCTCGGTCTCGCTTTCGTCTTCATCACTGTCGCCCAAGTCCCGGCCATCATCTTCGATTTCGGGCATATCCACTAGGGCTAGATACGCATCTCGTTCCTTGGAGAGCTCATCTTCAATGTCGCCGTCATCCATGACAATGATGCCGCCTTTGCCTGGTTTGTATGCTCGCTCTATCCGGCCGCCATTGACACCAATGGGGGTTCGTGCAGAGAATGTCCTGGCCTCTTGCGTCTCTGGTTCGAGGGGAAAGCCGCCGAAAACGTTGCCCAAGTTCCACGGGCGATGGGAGTCGATCACCCACACCTCCACACCCCCAAAGGTATTTTCTTCGCCCTCGGGTTCAAGTCCGAGAACTGTGCCGAGGTCAACCATACCGCCCACGCCCAAGCATACAACGACTCCTCCAGCACCACCACGGGTCTCCATCATGGGGCTGACGAGCTCAGTACCGGCACGTTCGAGGTCGGAGTAGCCAGCGACTGGCTGGATCTTGTGCGGGATATAGTCATGTTTAAGAAGTTGGGTTAGGATACGGCAGGCACATAGCGCATCGGTTTCGAGGGCGACCAGGATGAGGACAGGCGGCGATAGTGGGTGGCGGGTATTTTGCAAGTGGAGGTAGAGTTTTGATATAAGCTGCCGAGGGAGATACATTGCGAAGGGAGAATCGGTATCGAGGGTGGATCTGCGAGGAAAACCGGCTGGGGATGGATTGTCGAGGCGGGGCAGCGAGTCGACGTCGTCGTGGGATATTCGCCGGCGAGGAACACTTGTAATTTACTCGAGGTAACTGACTTGAACTCTGTTCACTGGGCAGGAAAAAAACCGACGGGGATGCGCGACGCGGCCTGCCCCGCGTTAAGAGCTTCCTGCTATGGACTATGTAGCTTGAAATATACGATGGCAAAGAAATACTGGTGTAATGGCGATGCACGTCAGTCGGATAGTGTTGTCGCGGTCGACAATAATTCGTGTGAGGGACGATGGTGTTGATAGGAGTGTTCTTTTGTTGATGTTGGCCAGGATCCTTTAATTGACATGGAAGGGCGGCCAACCAGCGCTGCGCTTCGGACGCGCTTCGAGACGCGACTTTGTGAAAGTGGTTTTGTGCCAGGGCGGGCACAGCGTGCATTACTTACGCTATCAACCACTGCAGTGGACTGCAGGGGCGTCAGCACAAAGCGTGCAGTGAAAGGACGCGGCCAGAGCGACCAGTTTGCTTGTACGCAGTACATATGTAGTGGGGCTTTGGGTTTTGGGCAGGCAAGACGGGAGGTACCTAGAGGTAGGTAAGGTATGTACCTAGGTATGTATCAATATCAAGAAATGGCGGGGTACAGCGCGAAGTGGAATTGCCCAGGGCAGCTGCTGACAGCCAAGGCCACAGGGGCACCCCGGGGCGGCCATCCCTCGACCGAAGCACGGGCATTGGTATGTACATACAGTAATAAACTAGGTACATAATACCTAGGCAACCTAAATGCCTGCCCAGAGGACAACGGAACAGCGGCCAGTTAGGTTCCTGCACGACAGCAATGCGACAGAAGCTTCCACTTCTGCATCTTGTCCAGGTCGAACGTGGAATTTCACGAGAATTCCTGTCGGCGAATGTCCCTGGATTTTAGTGAACTCTTCAGTTGCCGTGGAATCATCTGAGAACACTGTCACCGTGGGGCTGCCCAACAGCTGGAACTGAACTAATTTATCAACCTAGGTAACCAGCTGCTCTTTCCACTCCATCTCCTAGCATAGGTGTCCAGGCAGGCATCGATGTCCCACAGAAGGGTCCGCGGTGAAGGAACGGACGGGGCATGATTAACTATTCCGAAATTGCAGAGTGCGAGTTGAAGTGCAATAATACAGGAAGGGACCATCTAACGATGTGCTTTCCAATCCTGGATTCCGGATCAGCGTCTCCGGATTTCCGATTCGACCTATAATCCAGCTTCCATCTTGGGTTCTCTTCTGTTTAGTTTGGTCCCTCTTTTCAGTTGTCAATCCACATTTCCATTGCTCGGATCACAACACAACAACTGCCGCACACCAGACACCACTCACAACACTGGCCATCCACCACGACACCCACACCACTCCCCGTCTCGTCGGCGACAGTCTCAATTTCACTCCATCCATGCTACTACAGTAGCCAGCCGGCCTGCCAAGCCAGCCACGACGGCGGCCACTCTTGCGGCCCACGCTTTTCTACGGTCGACCTGACCGCTCCTCTGCCTTCACTGACCAAAGCAGGAAGAAGGCTGTTCAGAGGAACTGACTGATGGTTGGACCCAAGAACGAGGTGATCGACACGCTTTTCAAAACACTTGTGGTTTGTAAGTTGCCCTGGGGTGCGCCTACCGTGTAGTGTATGTAGTACACTAGAGTCAAGCATTTATGGAAGCGACCCGGGGACTTGGGCAGGTAGCCAGCCAGACCTTGCCAGATATACGCTACTTTTGGACGCGGTAACAATTTGCAGCGTATACCCATAGATCGGCAAGCTGTTTGATGCGAGGGGAAACGATGGGGCCGAGTACCCATGAGGCCACGGGCTCACCATCATGTTTACTGCGCCATACAAAACCCATCACCTCGTTACTCACTTGGTACTTGATACCCGACGAGCCTGTTGTATTCCCCTCTCTCGCGGTTTTCTCGGTGTACAAAAGTGGTGTATTTGGAGCAGACTTACCATGGCGGAGCTCTTGCCGGTCCGATTGCTTACAATGGTTCAGGTCGAGGACATGTTCTGTCCCCTCACGAGAAAAAGAAAAGCTGGGTCCCGGGAGTTCGGGTAGCCACCAGAGTGGTCTCCCAGGACAAGGACAAGGTGGGCAACGGTGGCAGATGTGGACTCGCCCCATCCCCCGATACATATCGTCCATTCCGATCCCTCGCAGATTCCCCAGCAATTCCCTGCTCCGCCAACTTCCATTTCCGGGCCTGTCGGGCGGCTGAAAGTTTCCGCTCTCATACCAAGATCCGTCACTTTGGGATTTCCCATGGTGCCACATGGCCAATGGAAAAGGGTTCCTCATGCGGAAAGGACTTATCGTTGCTTGTTCAAACGTGTAAAAACGACATAAGCCAATGGGCCAAGCGGCCTCAGTACATGTTCGACTGTTTCGGGGACGACATCCTATTCTAGAATCCTGCCCTTGCTCGCTCGTCCATGGGTAGCTCTCGCGAATCCCATGCCAATCTCTACCGGAATGCCTGCACTCGTACCCGACAGGTCGGTAACAGGCTTGGTCCTGCCTCTGGTGTGTCTGGTTTGCTGGGTGTGGTGTGTGTGTCGGCACGGCTGGGCAGATTGGCTTCCCTGGCTCCCTGGCCTGCCGCCCGAGACCAGGGGGGTGTCAGACTGGAACTGTCCCAGCACGGTGGGCTCTGTTGCGGCTCCCGCAGCGGTTGTGGGATGATGGATCCAGAGCTGGGGGAGGGGTTCGTCTGCCGAACTGGCTTGCAAGGTGCTACGCTATGTGTCCTGGCTACGCTGCCGGGACGCTACTGGTACGTTTCCGACTTCGAATCTCTGCTTCCACGTAGTACACTACATAAGGCCATAGAGACCTCTTAGCGCGGCAACGCTTCAGCTTTCTTGGTCTTTAGCACGTAGCAGACGGGGCCTGACTGAGACCCGAGTTTGGGCTACTCGGTGCGCTGGTGCTGGAGATGCATAGATGGCGTTTTCTCATATGCATCCGGCCCATGTCATTAGAGATCCCTTCCCCCTTGATTGGCGCCCCGGTAACTTATCATACCCACTCCGCTCTATACACGCCCCTCATAGCCCAGGTAATTATGGTTTTCTTTGCGGTGTCTACTGTGTGTATAAGCCCCGAGTATCCACGGCACTCCGCCTTTTGAAGCTCTTCATTGGGACATGTATGTCTCCAATATCAGATATTTTCCCCCTTCCCCCGCCTGCTTGTCTTTCTCTTCTGCTTGGTCGGGGCTTCTCCGACAAGTCCAAGTGAATGACGAGTCTCTTCCCAGGCTCACCCGAAAGACCATAAGCACCCATTGGTAACGTCTTCCTGGAGCTCCAGTTTCGATTTCCTTCTACCTGATCCACCACGATCTCTCCGACAAGGCGTTCCTGTTCCTTATCTACAACTTCCCTCGGCCCTTCCAGAACATCAACCACGCAAGCGAATCCAACAGCGAGGTGACATATGCTTTGTCCAAGAAGGTGAGGTGGATCATGCACCTCCAGCTTCGACACTCGGTACTTACACCTCTCAGAATCGAATCAAACGTCATCCCGGAGAATCGAGAGGAGATCTGTTCTGGACCACTTGACAACGAGATGGAGCAAGGTGCGGGCGTTATTGAGCCGCTGGCCGAGGGCGAATGGCAGAGCGGGGAGGATACAGCCACCTCGGATTATGACCCAAGCATAGCCGAGTCGCGATATGGCTCTCTTACATCCAGCGTGAATGACCACGTCTGGGAATATGGAAGGTGCGTATCAGGGGAAGGGTCACTCAACACTCTTCGTTTGTGCTGTTGCTAATGCTCGGTCCAGGCGGTACCATACGTTTCGCGAAGGAAGATACCCGATACCCAACGATGACCTCGAGTACAACCGCGAGTACATGCGGCATGCCATGCTCAAAGAGATACTGGAAGGAAAACTATTTATTGCGCCGATTGGAACTCGTCCCCAAAAGATTGCCGATTTGGGGACCGGATTTGGCGATTGGGCCATCGAGAGTACGTACCGAGGGAGAATTGCGGTGAGCCACTTTCGCTTCGTTCGTACGTCAAACTGACACTTTGCCAGTGGGAGAGACTTATCCTAGCGCCAAAGTAGTAGGCGTTGACTTGTCTCCAATTCAACCTGTCTGGATTCCTCCAAATGTCGAGTTTGTGGTAGATGATATCGAAGACGAATGGGTACAAGACTCGGACTTTGACTTTATCCATTTGCGCTGGGTCAGTATAACGCTCAAAGACAACGAAACGCTATTCCGGAGATTATTTGAGTAAGACTGCTTCTGTCACCTGTCACCTCTTTTTTTGATCCCGCTAATGTGTACGGCGCAGGAACCTTAAGCCTGGCGGCTGGGTTGAGTCCGTAGAAGTGAAGCCGCGCGTTTTCAGCGATGATGACACAGTTAAACCTGATCACGCGCTGTTAAGATTTTATGATCTTACGCGCGAGGTGCTGTCAACCAGATACGGATTCCAGGTTGAAATCGCCCAGCGCATCTCCGAGTTGATGCACAGAATAGGTTTCATCAACGTGCGGGAAATCGTCATGAAGGTACCGGTGGGTGAGTGGCCCAGGGACCAGCATCAGCGCATCATAGGGCGGCTCATGAAGGAGGTAAGCATGGATCTATGTGTTGCCATGTCGGCAAGGCCGTTTATCGAGAACGGAATGGAGGAGAAGGAGAGAGAGGAACTCCAAAGCAGTGTGAAGGCTGTGCTGAACGACCGGCGCGTCCATGCGCAATTGCCGGTATACTTCATAGTAGGCCAGAAGCCGCCATTGAGCGCGCATCCGAGTACAACGAGTTTCGGCAGTAGTCAGCAGACATAGGAATTTGGTGAGGAATCGAGAAACAAAAAGGATTCAAATTTGTCTTTTTCCGAGGTGTTCTTCGGAGTCGATGTTGACATGTCACATCGGCTCTTCAGTCAAACCATACTGTCGGGTCCGAATTCCACTTCCCCAACAAGCGAGCAGCCGTTGATTTGCATGCGCAGTACAGTACGTAAGCACGACACGACCTTTGTTACTTTTGCGTTCCACCTTGAAACCCGACAGTTTGGATCATTTGGATCTGAGTCAAGGGCCGAATCCGAGTTGTCGGGTAAGGGGGTGGGGCCAGACCGAGGGAAAAACGGGCGAAGGGCGCCCCGGGAGTTGAGAGGGGTGGGCGTTGGCGCCTGGGTTCATGTGGTGGTGGTGCAAACTGCAGCAAGCTGACAAGAAGCTGAGGTGAGGAGGAGACGCCCAGTCACTCCAGTGTGCCGGGGACACCTTGAAAGGGATACCCAGAAGGGTTCCGGCCACCGCTCCAAGGGCGCCATCATTCCCGCCATACAGGAAGACTTTTTTTCTGCCGGTGATCCACGATCAAATCGGGCATGTCATTGGGCGGGTTTCATTTCAGTTTAGGGTTAAATGAAAGCAGCGTTGCTTTTCACGACCTATTTCTGCTCGTGGCACAGTGTCTGCGTTCTCGACCTCATTTGGTTCTGAATCACCGGAGCTATTCCCGTTGCCGGGTTGTGGTTTCGATGGCGGAGCGTCTCATAGGAACCTGTTGACGTTACACAAGCCCAGTGGGCGATGTTGCTGCTACACTACACTAAACTAGCTGGCAGTTGGCAGCAGGCAATCATTCATCCAATCATCTCGTCAGCCAATGGGAAGCACGTGCCATGCGTGCATAACTTGTATAAACCGCGCACATCAGAGCTGTGCACGCGACATCAACGTGGGATTCGTCAACCTGGTTGGTTACTCTCTTTCACGCGTCCCCTTTTTTTTTCATCCTCTCACAATCCCTTGCCAAGTAAACAAACACCCCCACCATCTTGTTAACAAGGTCATGTCATGAAAAATGAGAACTACGTCAACGTCAAAACTTATCGGGCTTTGCCTAAGCGCAGTCCAACAGATTATTCAAGAATGTGCCTACATTGCTGACGACGAACCTGCCTTTTCATCATCGTCTCCATCACCTCACCAGAATGCTGGCTCACCGAAGCCTCCATCCAACGTCCAAACTTTGGGAAGCATCCGGCTCTGCGGGCTGGAAGGCTGCAAAGAACCATTAGTCGAACTCCTATGCCGACAAGCGTCGAAGATCCTGCAGCTCTATGGAACCAGTTCAGGCGATGCCGGTCCCAGCGATTATGCCAGTCTCCAACCCGGGGCAGAACGCGAAAAGGCAATTTCACTGGTAAAAAGAAGACTCGAACTCTTGACAAAAACAGCATATGGCAAGTTCTATGCGTACATGTACAAGGAGGTGCCGACCTGCTGGCGACAGCTTTACACGGATGCGGCGATCTTGAGGTTTGCGGTTTTAGTTTTGCTTGAGTTTGACTTTGAAGCTGATGCGGGATCGAAGGAGGACGCTGATGAGAAGGAGAAGGAGAGAAGGATGAAGAGGAAGATGATTGTTGATGAGATGGTCAAAACGCTGGATCTGAGTTTGATATTAGCTGGGGCTGCGGGCCAGAGCCGCGGCAGGAAGTGGGTTGATGAAGCTTTTGCGTTGTTGGAGGATGTTCTGGGGGATATGTCAGCTATGACCACAGCTGCTGCTGGTGGAGCCAAAAAGGGTAATGATGATGAGCAGGAAGGCGAAAGACCACAGAAGAAGCGGCGTCTCTCATCGTCTCCCAACACCAAGGACGAAGTGATCAAGGGAATCAACGACAGCTGGCAAAACACGCCATCCTTTTCCACCATTGAACCCTTTACGCCGCCCGTCAAGAACCCGATCTCAAGGGTTTCTGCCGAGTCCCTCCCCATTGAAGCATTTCAGTCACACTTTGCGAAACCTCGCCCAGACGGTAACCCAGGCCCAGCTCCCCTGACCATCACAGGTCTGGTAGACCATTGGCCAGCACTCACCACCCACCCCTGGAACAAGCCAGACTACCTCTTATCTCGCACGCTCTCCGGCCGGCGGCTCGTACCCGTCGAAATCGGCCGCAGCTACGTTGACGAAGGCTGGGGGCAAAAAATCATCTCGTTCGGCGAGTTCTTATCCAAGTACATTGACGCTTCTATCCCCTACACTCCCTCATCTTCCAACGTATCCCCTTTCCTCTCCTCGTCATCCTCAGCTCAACCGCAACCATCATCCTCGGATCTATTACCCGAAAAAGACAACACCCAGATAGCATACCTAGCGCAGCACCCCCTCTTTCTCCAACTGCCCCGTTTACGACAAGACATTCTGATTCCGGATCTTTGCTACACCGCGCCTCCCCCACACCCAACAGACCCAAGTCAAGATCAACCGGAACTTGACTCGCCGCAACTCAACGCCTGGTTTGGCCCACCGGGCACGATCACCCCGTTGCACACGGACCCGTACCACAATTTGCTGGTGCAAGTAGTGGGGAGGAAGTATGTGCGGTTGTATGGGCCAGAGCAGACGGGAAGGATGAGGCCAAGGGGAAAGGAGGGGGGCGTGGAAATGGGGAATACGAGTCAGGTTGATGTTGGGGTTGTTGAAGGGTGGGATAAGTTGGAGGGAGAAGATGAGGAGGAGGTAAAGTCAGGAGATGAAGGGGGTAGAGAGAATAGTGAAATGGGTTGGGATGAGGACTTTAAAAAGGTGCCGTTTGTGGATTGTATTTTGGAGCCGGGAGATACCTTATACATACCGATCGGGTGGTGGCACTATGTGAGGGGGTTGAGTGTTAGTTTCAGTGTTAGTTTCTGGTGGAATTAGGCATGGCTCTCTCATTGAACGGCCGTATTTAATTCTTTGTCAACATGAAGTTATTCCCATGCTTGGCATCGACTTGCTTTTCACATGCAATGACCTGACGGGTGGTTGCCCCTTTTCGCACTTGTACAGTCCCTGTCCAATGGGAAAAAGAGGTCAATTAAACGGCTGGAGGTTCAACCCCTGTCTCACCACACCACCACACTACCGAAACCCCTGTAGCACGACGGCGATTAGCAGGCCCACAAGGCTGGAACGCGCCGAAGCTCCCCACAATAATGGGTGTATTCGTCATTTTGGACATCTGTCTTTTGTGTTTGTCTTTCTTTCCTCCTTCCGATTTCCAGGAACTTCGTCTTCGCCTTCACGATTCAGTTCGCGCCACTCATTTTGCGCTTTGAACAAGCACCAATTTGATCAATCGATCCCTTCGACCCCGACATTCCTTACCTGTTCCACGATAAGCGACCAATGTTACCCCAAATGATTAGGTAGCTCGCCATCACGCATTCGCTACCTACCTTTCTCCTCGAACTTGTCCTCGAATTCTCCGAACTACGGAAACCGACGCAAACACGATCGCATACCCAACGATGACGGGACACCACCCAAATCACCATAATTCGACCACTTGCCTCTCGCAGACCGAGAGCCTTTCCCTCCTCGCCCTCTCCGCCGCTTGTGTCGCCGTCCTCGCCAACACCTTCCAGGGTGATGGCTACCCACTCATCGCTTCGCTCGCGCTTGGCGGGCTGGCATTCAGCGCAACCTTCTCCATGATCCGATGGCTGGGACCAACCTTCATGAGGGCCGGCTTGAAAGGCGTGGATATGAGCAAACATCATAAAAAGGAGCTGCCGGAATGCATGGGCGCGATAGCAGCCATGGTGTACTTGCTGGCTGTTATTATCTTTATTCCATTTCCGTTCTACAAGGACATTGTGGCGGCCACGAGCGGAGGTGGAAACCGCGATGTGGTGATGCATGTTGAGCATGTACAGGAAGGGAGGTTTCTACATCGGTTTCCGCATGGGAAGGCATGTCGACAATCCGTTGGTCCCTTGAGAGACGGGAACACACAAAAACAGATGCTAACACTTTGCGACACCAACAGCTCGCCTCCTACCTCTCCGCCGTCATGGCCCTCCAATCCATCTCCCTCCTCGGCATCGGCGACGACCTCTTCGACATTCGCTGGCGCCACAAATTCTTCATCCCCGCCTTCGCCTCCATCCCCCTCTTGGTCGTCTACTTTGTCGACTTCGGCGTCACCTCTGTCGTGATCCCGACCCCCTTACAACCTTACCTAGGCGAGCTCTTCAACCTCGGCGCCTTATACTACGTCTACATGGCCTCGGTTGCCATTTTCAGTCCCAACAGCATCAACATCCTGGCAGGAATCAACGGCATCGAAGTCACCCAATCCATCGTCATCGCCCTGTTGCTCGCTTTCAACGATTGCCTCTACCTTTTGACGCCGTATCCGCACCCGGCTACGGACTCCCACTTGTTCTCGCTTTATTTCCTCCTCCCCTTTTTGGGTGTGTCTTTTGCTCTGCTCTGGCACAACTGGTACCCGGCCCGCGTCTTCGTTGGCGACACGTACTGCTACTTTGCGGGCATGGTCTTTGTGGTGGTCAGCATCTTGGGACACTTCAGCAAGACGTTGATTTTACTTCTGATTCCGCAGATCTTCAACTTTGTTTATTCCGTGCCGCAACTCTTTGGTCTTGTACCCTGCCCACGTCACCGTTTACCGCGGTTTAACGCGCGCACGGGACTGTTGGAGCCGAGCGTGACGCCCTGGACGCCAGAGAGACAGCCGAAGCCGCCGGTGGCGTGGGCGCTGAAGACGCTTGACAAGGTGAAACTGTTGAGGGTGACGCTGGATGAGGAGGGGAGGTTCGTGGAGACGAGTAACTTTACAATCTTGAACTTGTGGCTGGTCTGGAGAGGCCCGTTGCGGGAGGACCGGTTGGCGATGGAGATCACGGGGATGCAGGTAGTGGTGGGACTGTTTGGGTTGTTTGTGAGGCATCGGTTGGCGTTGATTTTGTTTAAGCAGGACAATTTGGGGGTCTGAAAGAGGGTAGAGCTCCTTGGTTATGGGCTTAGACTGCGTAGACTGAGACATCTTCCTTTGTATAAATGTCTTCCAATATTTAGAATAGACGCACATATACCTCCAGTCTCCCACGATCTTGGGGTATTGATATCACAGACAAGAGGTTCCAAGACTTTGAGATCTACTCCATCCCATTTAGGATCAATAAGCATACACTTGCTTGGGCCGGGCCGGACAGGGCAGCGGGGCATTGGACGGGATGTCCCGGTGGATCTCGGTCCCAGTGGTTGCTTGGGCCAGGGGTCAAAGTCCACTGAAAGTCACAGCAAGCATCAGGCGGCTCAGCGGTACTTCACCCCCCACCAACCACGGTTGTCACGAGCGTCTTGGCTGCTTGGCTCTTCAACCTCACCTCATCCCTCCATGCGACCTTCTTCGCTCATCACCACCTCATCATCAGATTGAGAACCTCATAAGACCCAATCGCAATCATGTCCAAATTCAGCCAATACCTAGGCGATCCGCCCGCCATTGACGGCAAGTCTACCATAGACTCCATTGTGAACCATGGCCATCAGGATCTGGTCCAGGCCGTTGCATTCAACAGCTACGGCGACCGTTGCGCGACCGGATCCGTCGACGGCAAGATTCGCGTCTTCAACAGACACAAAGATGGCAAGTGGCGCGTTTGCGATAGCTGGAGTGCCCACGGCGGTGAGATTCTAGAGGTAAGTCTTTCACATAATCTAGTGGCGACTGACTCAAACTAACTTTTATCCCACAGCTCCAATGGCTCCCCCCAACCATCTACCCGAACCTCCTTGCCTCCCTCGGCATCGAAGGTCGCTTCAAGCTCTGGGCCGAAAACCCCTCCGCCGCCCCTGGTCGTCGCTTCGGCGTCAACCTCACCGGGCACGGCGGGCACCATGGTGGCGCCAACACCCTTTCGTCTCGTCGTGACGTCGGCGGTGGCCTCTCCTCTCTTTCCTCAGGCGACAGCAAACCCACGCCGGCCTTTGACTACCGTAACCCCAAATCGCCCATCCGCTCCTTCAGCCTCAAACACAACGACGACACGCGACACACCTACCTCGCCCTTTTATCCGTGGACGGCACGCTCGAAGTCCTGGAAAACGAAACACCAGAGAACATCACCGAGTTCTCCCGCATCGACCAATTCACCGTTTGCCCAAAACCCTCTCGCGGTGAGGAGACCTCCTTCCGAGTGCGCTTTGACCCCAACCAGGATGTGTGTTACACCGCTTTGCGGGCGGGCGTGCCCACGGATGCGCTGGGACTGGTGGTGGCGGCTATGGATTCGGTCAAGGTGTATAGGACTAGAGACACGGTCAGCGCTAGCTTGGGCGTGGCCACGGCTGCGAAGGAGTTCTATCTCGCTGCGGAGATCAGTCCGAAGGATCCAGTTGCGGGGCATAGAGGGCTGGTGAGAGATGTGGCGTGGGCGCCGGGGAATATTAGGGGTTACGATATTGTGGCGACGGCGTGTCAGGATGGATACGTGAGGGTCTTTGGACTGTCGACGCCGGCGCTGCAAATGCAAGCACAAGGGATGGAAGGAACCAAGGGATGGGGAGTGGGGGAGATGAGGAAGCATCAGGAGGGGAGGCGAGAAGAAGGCGGTGGTGGTGGGACTGCTGCGGCTAGAGCTTTGGCGGGCTCGGCGGCGCAGCATGGCGGTGGGCAGGATACCCATTTGAAGTCAGGAATTAGGGCTGGGTTGGCGGATCAGTCGAGGTTGAGTGGGACCGCGGGAGATAGGTTGAGGCTGGGTGGGCAGCAGCAGCCGGGCCAGGTTAGACATGTGGTCACGGAAGTTGCGAGGCTTGACAGTCATCGGACGCCGGTGTGGAGGGTGGGGTTCGATGATGACGGGCAGATTTTGGGCAGCGTGGGTGATGAGGGTAAGTTGATGTGCTATCGGCAGACACCGGATGGGTCGTGGGCAAAGAGCGCAGAGTTGGCGATGGTGAAGATGAGGATGGCTGCGCCGTAAGGGGTGGCTAGTCTCTTTTCATAACTATCGATGTGTCGTTCTGATATCCCCTACAATCCTGTCTCGGCCCAGCATTGTATCATTTTCTGTACTCGAATTTCCGGACATTAGGAGAGTGTGGCCTGATGGATGCTTCCTTTCACGGCAAGGGGCTGCGGCTGGAAGCCCCTTCCATCCAACTTGTTGACTTTTTGGTTCAACTGAAGTGGTTGGATTTGTTCAATCGCGTTGGGAAGGAGTGATCTTGGTGGCGGAAAAAAAGTCCCACGGTGACTGTGGCAGCCAAGTCGAACTTCGAATCCCAACAAAAATAGGCATCCAGATTAGGTGTTCATCAGCATTACCGTCGTCCAGACATACTTCTATATACAGTCACCACCACATTTACCGTCAAGTCAACTGTTAGCTATCACTATGTCGGCTTTGAGCCTTCCCGCCCGAACTCCGAGCGGCGATACAGCATGCCTCGAACCTCCATCCAACAACAGGCTCAACGCTTCCGAGCGTGTCCTCGGTTCACCCGGCCGCCGACGCTTGAACATCCCCAATACGTTTGCTGGCCTCTAGGAGAAGGACATCAATCGGCAGCAGCCCGGACATGTCGACCTGGACGAGTCCTTTGGGGAGTTCGAAAACATACCATTGACCGATGCTCCCAACACGCCTGTAAAGGCCGGGAAGCAAGGCCATACTCCGGTACACAACGAAGACACGCAACAAGGACCGACACCATCTCGCCTAATTGTCGGTGATGGCCTGGTTCCCAGCCATGACTTCAAGCAGACCTCTGAAGAAAACAAAGCGTCCACTTTCCGTCACCGAATGTTCTCTTTCGAAAGCCCTTCCGATGCACCGGAACTCAAGGTGATGCCTAACAAAGACGAAACGGAGATCAGGAGGTCCCTTGATGCAGAATCTTTCTTCGACCGAATCTTTCCCGTCCGCAGTACTTCGTCTTCCTACCCATCCGAAGGTGTCAAAAGCCCCGAGCTTACAGTTTCCCCTCCCATGACCTTCGGCAGACGCATTTTGTCAAGTCTGGAATCTTACGGCTTTTCAACGTCTTCGTTTTTGCGAAGCAGTGAGGAGTCAGTTGGTTCTCGTCAGCGCCATAGACTTAACCCAACCGCTATGGAGGGTGCGTTAAGAGATCTCTATCGGGAGCAGGAAGCGGCAAAGAACAATGAAGTCATCGAATGTGAAACTCAGCCCTCGGTGGCAGGTGGTAACAAAAGTATCAAAATCACCGAGCAGGAGTTGACCAAGCCCGAGGTCGAGCACATTGAGGATATTGAGCACAGGAAGACGCCCAGCCTCAATGGCAGCGACGCCAAGGAAATCATCGCCGATATCTCAGCCGTCAACACAGAGCTCATCATCAGCTTGGCCAATGCTGCCCTGCATATGGGCAAAAGTAACAGCTCCACGCTCCCCAGACAGCGTCTAAGTTCAGCCGGACCCAACAATCCAGGAGCAACACCCTTCCCCTCGCTTGACCTAGCTCCCTGTGGTCGCGCTCTGGCCTCCTCCAAAGCCGGGCTACTGTCGGAAGAAGCTCCCAGTAACTTATCCACTCAATGTCTGCCGCGTGTGTCAACAAACCCACCTCGTCTTTCCACCGAATCTCCGACCACACTGGAGAAAAGGTACCTCAAATCCAAGTCAAGGGCTGCACTTTCCATTTCGTTTGGCTCGCCTATCAAGAAAAGAAACGTAGAGGTTGCACCTACAGTCTCTCCAGTAACTGATATATCGAATGTTCCTCTCCTTACTGGTGTTCAACGAGACAATGACAGGAAGCCATCAGGGCCTTATCCCCGCCAACAGTCAAAAAAGAAGAGCTCGATTCTTAGGCTTCTGCGTTACATCTTTCGCAGACCTATCAAAGCCAAGAAGTGGGTTGTTCGCAAGTTTCGTGCAAAGAGGAAGGGGGTCTCGAAGAGATTCAAGACAAAGACCAAGGCCAGGAAGGAGAAGAAGAAGAGGATCTTGGAGTTACCTAAGGTTGAGGACACTACTGTTGCCCCAGTTACCGGTGAGGAAGTTGAATCTGTCATTGTGCCTGTTACCGTTCTCGAGAAACCCGCTACAGCCCCTGTTACTGCTATAGAGGTCGATGCTGTCAAGGCAGAGCTGAAGGAAGTTGAACAAATTGCTAATGATGAGCATGTGTCGGTTGCTGAAAAGGAACTGACAATCAAAGCTGTGGTGGAAAAGAAGATCGGGTCAGATGAGGGAAGTGTCGAAGAGGTAGAGGATATTACGGTTGAGATTCATGTGGTTGATGCTTCTACTTGTGTTGCATGATTCTAATGGCTTCTAAAAGGGTGTTCACTTGCGTCTTGACGAAGTTGGCACTTCAAAGTATGTTTATAACGCAGTTTAGGTTTGCTAAGGAGTAGTTCAAGCACCAGTATCATGTATACCAAAACGGACAGGGGTTATGCACCTCCATAAGCTACAAATATTCTCATCAGATACTCATTCTTGATGACTTGAATTGCTCCATTCCTATCCATATACTCTCTCCGTTTTCCCAGATGAACATGCAGCCAACGGAAACTGAACCACCCCCGTTTCTCTGCTTCCAAATACTCGTCAATATCGTGACACAACTTTCCCCTTCCCCTCTCTCAAACCCGGGAACACGCACGTATGGGAACACGAATGTGTAACGTCCCGTTCATATTCGTCCTGCGTCTGCGTCGTTTTGGTCGGGACGCCTCCCTCCCGAGCCTTTCCTCGAGCTTACTTAACACCCCACCCCCCCCTGGTTATGCATCCCTTGGCTGTGGCCCCCTCCTCCACTTTTTTCTAGACTACAACTCTACGTAGTCTATGTAGAGAGATGTAACAATATTCCCTGCCGTTGCCACGCAACATTTCAGGGCTGACGGCGGCGTGACGGACGATCATGGAATCTGATGGGTTGATTGAAGAGGGATTTTTTTTATCTTCTGGCGTGACACAATAGACACAATAGATGGACACAGCAGGGAACTAGTAGTTCTAGGTAGGAGGGAGGGGAAGAGAATGCTGTGTGCCTTTTTAAGAGTATATACTTTGTGTGTCTTATCTGGTGTGAATTCTCTCAAGTGAGAGTGATGATGGTCCTGAGGCGAAATTGGAACTGACTTGCCTAGGTCGAGCCTACGTAGAGCAGTGAGTGCTACTTCAATAGGGATGGGATATAGATGATGGGGGTGGGGTGCTGCTGATGATTTGATGACGATTCGGGAATCAAAGGTAGGAGAAAACAGTCGCCAACGGGAAGGTTATGTATGATACATGTGCTACGGACGGCTTGAACAGGTCGTACGGAGTTTTTTTTTTTGGGGGGGGGGNGGGGGGGTCTT